ACACAAAAAAAAAAAAAGAAAAAAAAAAAAAAAAAAAAAAAAAAAAACAAGACGATGTTGCTAACACGAACCCTAGCAAGAGCCGTGCTTCGCAAAATCTACCACCGGATCGGAAACGTGACCCATTGAGAAGATCCGGTGAGTAACTCAGTGGGCCGCGTTTGTGGGTTAATTTACTCGCCGAGCCTTAGCAAGCGTCGGGTTCGACGAGAACGTTGACCAGGCAAAACCAGCGCGGCACGATAACCCTCTTACTAATTACTTATCCCAACCGCAAAGCCGCCATCGCCTTAAATCACGGGTGGTAGGACCTCTTGGGAGTCCGCACGGGTAGGTACCACCACCCTGCCTATTTCCGCCGTGAAGCAGTAATGCGTTTCGGTTCGAAGGGTGGGGTAGCCGTTGTAACTATACTGAGATCTTAGAACTTATATCTCGAGGTGGGTGGCGCATTTACGTTGTAGATGTCTATGGGCTCCAGTAACCACTTAACACCAGGTGGACTGTGAGCTCGTCCATCTATCTAAGCAAAAAAAAACATATCTTATCGGATTCTCCGAAATCAGTTTCGGAGCTTTTACGCCTCCCAAGCACTGGACACCGTCCTCGTCGATCTAGTCGTTTACGATGAAGCGTTCGACGAGCTAACTAACCTATAGCCCACAGAGCTTTTCGTCGTAAATTTCTCAGGGGGTCGCGATTTCGATCCGGCGGTAGATTCAGCGAAGCACTGCTCTTACTAGGGCCGGTTTGAGCCCCGTGAGCTCACTTACTCGCCCGGTTACGCTGCGACGCATAGCCTGTCAAGGCTAAAAATAAAAACTCCGGAAGGCTAACAACCACTGGTGTCTTGTGTTGTAGACACCACCACCAGCGGCAATACTTAGTGTTTTATCTCATAAAAATGTATTAGATACTAGCTTTTGGCCGCGACTTCGTCCGCGTGGAATAGTTACTTTGGCATAACGCTAAATTTTACCCGCGACTTCATTTACAGCTTTCAGGATTGGAAATTCATTACTGAACCGGTAGATGGCGTTGAAGAAGCTAGATTTTGAGATTTTTCGACAAACAATTTATTTAATTTTTCGTAAAAAAAAAATTTTTTTTTCTTAATAGAAAGTATCCTGTGTTACTTCTAATACCTCCAAGAATATGTGTACAAAGTTTCATGATGATCGGTTGAGTAGTTTTCGCGTGAAAGGGTAACAAACAAACTTACATTCACATTTATTTATTAGTAGGGATAATCCTAATTTTTTTAATCGTATATTCAGTAAGATTTATTAACACAATCTTGTTAGGTAACGAATGAAAAGAGTTCTGAATCAACCACTTCCATTGCATTATTTCGATTTTCGTTCACGCTTCTGATCGACACACGCTGTTTATTCTATTGACAATGTTATTACAGTTGTTTCAGATAAACATTTGTCGTTCTGTTTAAGGATCAGATAAATTATTACTATTCATTATTTATTTTTAAATATATAATTTAAGAAATAGTATCCGTAATAGGTAATCCGTTTAACTAGGATGAAATATAATCTCAGTAAAATGGTGGTCATTTACTGAGGTTTTTTCTCCAGCGGGTTTGTTTCATTTTCCCACATTTGTGCACTTTCACAGATATTAAGAAGTTAATAAACTACCGTTTTTTTTATTGCTTAGATGGGTGGACGAGCTCACAGCTCACCTGGTGTTAAGTGGTTACTGGAGCCCATAGACATCTACAACGTAAATGCGCCACCCACCTTGAGATATAAGTTCTAAAGTCTCAGTATAGTTACAGCGGCTGCCCCACCCTTCAAACCGAAACGCATTACTGCTTCACGGCAGAAATAGGCGGGGTCGTGGTACCTACCCGTGCGGACTCACAAGAGGTCCTACCACCAGTAATTACGCAAATTATAATTTTGCGGGTTTGATTTTTATTACACGATGTTATTCCTTCACCGTGGAAGTAAATCGTGAACATTTGTTGAGTATGTATTTCATTAGAAAAATTGGTACCCGCCTGAAATTCGAACACCGGTGCATCGCTCAACACGAATGCATCGGACGTCTTATCCGTTAGGCCACGACGACTTCTCAATACATTTAAACCTGAAGAAACACTAAATAGACAAAATAAATCAGACAACTTCACTCCTCGCATTCCCGCCAAAAAGTTAAAAAAAAAGTAAATAAAGAAACAGATTCTCTCGTATTTACATATTTTAATAAAACTCCGTTGTAAGTTAGACATTCAAACAAACTTTACTCACCGCCATTACTAATTTAAAAAAAATAATCAGAACACAACAAAATCCGTACTTAAAATAATATTAAAGCACACTTAAACACACAAAAACAATTAATAGAAAACTCAAGGTATTTTTTTCAATTTCTATTGGAAGCGCTCCACCATTGCGAACGTAGACCGTTCGAAATTCGAATGTCGAAGCGTACGCGCCGCGCCGGCAGTGGCGGGAAATGTGTTTGGTTAGTGACATAATTTTACGTGTAGCGGTAACGAATTATTTACAGCTTTAAAGCGCTTTATAAAATATATGTAATGTACAAGTGAAACTGTGGTTTGATATAGGTTATTGTACGTAAAATCATTGATTACTAGATACTCGCGCAGGGACGTCTTAAATTAGGCTGGGGCCCTTGAGCACACAAGAATTTGAGGCCCTTGTGGAAAGTAAAAAAAGCGAATTATAATAACATTTTTTTACTGAGTATGACCATTTATTATAGGTAATCAAATACAGTATAATATAATATGTCATTATTATTAGAATGCTGCTGGTTTGTTGGTTACGATCACGATAACGGAAACCGAATAAATGTGTGAGAGAAATTGTCGGTCCTTAGGGGCCCCCTGAGAATGGGGGCCTTTGGCCCCGTGTGCCCTTATGGTAAAGACGGTATTGTACTCGCGTGTCTCCCCATACGTTGACAGTACTATGATAGAAAACTTCGGAAGAGGGCAGATCACCGCGCTCGTCGAATCCGTCGCTTGCGATGTAGGGCTCGACGAGTCAATTAACCCACAGACACAGCCCACTTAGTTTCTCACCAGATCTTCTCAGTGGGTCGCGTTTCCGATCCGGTGGTAGATTATGCGAAGCACTACTCTTACTAGGGCGTGTTAGCAAAACACCCGGTTTGAGCCCCGTGAGTTCACCTACACCTCAAAGAGAAGCTGATATAGCCTCTCAAGGCTATTAGCATAGGTAGGAAAAAAAATCCGACAGGTGCCAAAAAAACTGTACCTACCAAGTTCATGATCACAAAAAAAAGGATTCAACACACTTTCGTCTTAGACACGGCCTTACGGGTCTATCAGGTTCAATGACCCTTGTATTAGACGCCTTTAGCTCTAACACTAAGAACAGGTTTAGGGACACCGGTAAATGTACTCGTCGAACACGGCAAAGAATTCGACGTGCAATCTAACCTAAACATCAGCCCGCTGAGTTTCTGGCATGTTTCTCGACAGATCTTCTAAGCGGTTCGCGATTCCGATCCGGTTGTAGATTCATTCGCGAAGCAGCTACTCTTGAAGTGTTAGGTCTCCTTTGGAGGCACTCGGGTAGCTGTTAGCAAATCCCCCAATCCTGGCTGAGCCCTAGCTCACTCACCTGTACTGGTGAAATTGGAAAGACCTCCGGGCCACCAGTAATCCTTCAATTATAAAAATGACAAACACACATTTTAATTAGCTCGTTTTGTCTCTGTATGTATTTTTTTTCCTACCTATTCTAGTAACCTCAAGGGGTTATTCTAGATTCAACGAACTAGTAGGTGAGCTCACGGGGCTCAAAGCTGACGACATTGCTAACATGAACCCTAGCAAGAGCTGTGCTTTGCAGAATCTACCACCGGATCAGAAACGCGACCCACTGAGAAGACTCGGCAAGAAACTCAGTGGGCTGTGTCTGTGGGTTAATTTACTCGCCATGACTATATGTATTTGTATCTATATGTCGTATGTAACAGAAATCTTTTAATATCAATAGTCACGGACTTCAACTTCATGTCTTCAAGATGTTCGCATAACTTAAAAATTTAAATCGATTACAATATCAAAAATTCCTTATTTTGCCTAATATCTTAACACGACAAAAAAGTGCTAAGGCGGTTTTTTTATTTGGTCTTGTCTTTTGTATATTACTACATTAAAATTTAACTTCTATGGTTATGTTAAATTTTGGAAGTGACTTTTTTCGTTGCACCAATTGGAGTTTTTTTTTTATAATGACCACATAGAGATCAATGATGTCATGATAAAATTAATACAATAAATATAGAAAAGGATGTTTACACACACCTACACAGGTCTACGCCATGGCGCCAGTATAGGCAGATATAACCCTTGTGACGTCAGACTGTGTTTGAATTATGATACAGATATGATAACATCATTGAACGACCTTCGGATGGTAGGCGGGATGTTGTTTCAAAGATAAAATCGAACGCGATAAAAAAACAACTAGTGTTTAAGAATCGCTTTAAAAACCTTGATTCAGCGCTTTCCGCTTTATACTATAAACCGGTTGGAGGTGTGTGCAGGGGCTTGGCGTGACGTCACGCGCACGTGTGCGTAAAAACTAGACGCCAAGAATGCGAGACCCCTCCGTCCCCCGCGTTCGAACGGAATTCCCTTAAAAAAACACGCCACAATGCCTCCCGAAGACCAACACATGTTGGTTTATGTGGCGTGACTGCATCATTGTTATTTCTTTTGAAACCTTTGAAACGCTTTGCTTGGCTTTTGACATAAATTATTGCATCCAGCATAGAAAATCAATTTATTATTATTATTAAACTATAGTTTACAATGCTTTTTATTGTTAAAGAGTTTGACTTAGAGTTTGCTTTTTATAGACTTACTAGCTGACCCGGCAAAAGTTGTGTTGCCCTAATTATGATTTCTAGGGAAATTCTAGTTTAGGAAAAAACACCTCATTCAACCACATAATACCATATTATAACCAAAAAAAAATTATCCCAAAAATAACAATAAATGTTGGGGTGGACAACCCTTACCACTTAGGGGTATGAAAAATAGATAGTAGCCGATTCTCAGACCTACTGAACGTACTATTGATACACAAATAAAACCAAAAAAACATGGCTGGCAAGCTACGATTCTTCTTTTTCTCCACCTTATCCCACTAGGTGGGGTCGGCAGAGCTAATTTTTCTCTTCCATTCTCGTCTATCAGCCGTCATCTCAACACTCACTTCTCTCTCTCTCATATCGTCATTCACACACTCCATCCATGTCTTCTTCGGTCGACCTCTTCCCCCTCTACCATGCACTACCATTTCCATACATATATTCCATACAAGCTACGATTGATACACAAATAAAACCAAAAAAACATGGCTGAAAAATGTATAGTAAGACGGGAGACCGGCTTCGTCCTCATCCCTACTACGTGATGTTTGCTGGATGAGCGGTGACACCTGGCGGGGATAACTGATCGATTGATAGTTGATCAGTAGTCGACCGGCGAGGGCGGGAGATCAAATTGAATTAAAAAAAAAACATAATTAAAGGAACTTGAAATTATAAACTCTGAATAAGAATTTATCGTACTACAATTATAATATTTAATTGCCATCTTGGAACCTTATTGCGGATCTGTGCACAGAATAAAAAAAAAAATCGGGATGGAAAAATAAGGGTTGATCGTATAAGAGTGAAAATTGACAGTAATATGATTTTTTTTATTTTAATTCATGACAAAATAAAAATAAAAATCTTGCCAAAAAAAATAAAGTTTATAATTAACAAATAAAAAATAGGGGTTGATCGTAGATGGGTGAAAATTTCAGAGTAATATGATTTTTTTTATTCTAAGTTATGACAAAATAAAAACATAATTCTTGCAAAAAAAATTAAAAATTTTATTTAGCAAATAAAAAATAAGGGTTGATCGTAGAGGGGTGAAAATTTAGGTTTGTATGTATTTTTGTATGCTGTATCATAAAAAAAAAACAAAAAAATTTGTCCAAAAAATAAAAAATTAAATTTAGGGGTGGACCCGTAACATTTAGGGGGATGAAAAATAGAAGTTTGATTCTCAACCCCGGCCAATATGCACGCTAAGATTCACGAAAATCGGTCGAGCCGTTCGGAGGAGTTCAATCACGCACCCCGTGACACGAGAATTTTATATATTAGATATAATTTATAGATTTTTAATTAAGTGCGTTTTTATATTAAAATTTTACGTTCGAATTCCAGATTTTCATTAGATTTTGTGGTGAAATAAAGAATTGGAATGAAAGAGAATAAAGGATAGAAAAAAAAATTACAAGTATTTACTTCTATTAAATATATTGACTACATTTTAATGAATAAATACCTAGCTCAAGAGACGGAAGTTTTCTATTTTTGACATCGTGACATTTACAATAATATGTCGTAAAAAAAAAAAACTAGATTGATGCCATTTTAAAACCGTAAAGGTCACAGTCTAACTTGGTTCTATTAACAAGGTTATTGTTATTTAATAAAAAAATCTGTCGTGGCGTGCAACCTCATTGACAAGACATAAAACCTATAATGACTAGACATAGACAGACTAAGACAGGCATTTGAATATAATTCAAAAATAAATGGAACGAGGGCGTACGTGACCAGCAGCGAGGCAGTACATTTTTAGACTTCTGAAAAGACAGACATACAAAAAGACATACAAAGAAACAGAACGAATAATAAATTACCGTTCTTATATAAGATATTCAAGTGACCTTCGACCGTTCAAGTAGTCATTCGACCGTTCAAGTGGTCCTTCGAGCCGGATTTGAACCAGCGACCTATGGATAACCACAACTTTGACTCACTACAGTCCACCGCTCTACCAACTGAGCTATCGAAGGCCTCCGTGTTCTGCAGTACACAACTGGATGCACAAGAGTAGCAAGCGACACGGTGAGTTGACAGTCGACGAAGTTAAAGCAGCGGAGCTAATCTGGATTAGAGAAAGCCAAAGACGAATGTTCTCAGACGATATAGAAAGTGTCAAGAAAACCGGACAAGTGAAGCGAGATTCTCCGCTCCGTCAGCTTACACCATTTTTAGACAAGGACGGCATCCTCCGTGTTCGTGGGAGGATCTGCAGAGCAGATGGTGATAACGATTTCAGGCACCCTATAATTTTGAATCCAAAAGACAGATATGTCAAATTACAACTTATGCAGTATCACGTGGACTCAGCGCATAATGGACGCGAACGTGTGCTGCATGAAGTGAGACGACGATTCTGGATAATAAATGGACGTAATGCAGTAAAGACGACATGGAATGACTGTCAGTTCTGCAAGAACAGTCGTGCGAAGCCCTCGCCACCACTCATGGCTGATTTACCAGATGTTAGATTGAAGGAGGTCAGTCGACCTTTCACTTACACCAGGTTAGATTATTTCGGTCCAATCATAGTGAAGGTTGGACGTAGACACGAGAAAAGATGGGTAGCACTATTTACATGTCTGACAGTTCGCTCTATCCATCTGGAGTTGGTTCACGATTTGACAACCAGCTCCGTGTTGATGAGCCTCAGACAGCTGATAGCGAGACGAGGCTGTCCAAGTATTATTTTCAGCGACAACGCGACTACCTTTCGTGGGGCTGACCGTGAACTGAAGCGAGCTGTACAAGCTATCGACAAAGACGAACTCATCACCTTCGGTAGCATCCGACACTTGGAGTGGCGATTCATAGCCCCTGACGCACCTCATATGGGTGGATGCTGGGAGCGGCTCGTGAGATCCGTCAAAACAAGCTTGCGAGTAACGCTCAAGACCAGAACACCTAACGATCAGACATTAATGACACTCCTGGCTGAGGCCGAATTCATGGTGAATTCAAGACCACTGACATACGTACCTCTTGATTTTGACGACGACTTGCCCTTGACTCCGAATGATTTTTTACTACCAAAGACAGAATTTATTGACCATCCTTTCGGAATGTTTACGGACCATGATTTACTGAAACGGACTTGGAGAGAATCTCAACGACTTGCAGACTTGATTTGGAAACGCTGGGTCAAGGAGTACTTGCCCACTTTGACACGACGAGACAAATGGTACAGAGATTCTGACAGACCACTGGCGATTGGTGACGTCGTAGTTGTTGTTGACTCCCAGCTACCCCGCAACCAGTGGCCGCTTGGCAAGATCGAGCAGGTCTTCCCTGGTAAGGACGACATGGTTCGCGTTGCTAAAGTTCGGACCAGACATGGACTCTACACAAGACCGGCGACGAAACTGTGCAGGTTGGACGTACACTCCTCATCTTGAGTACCAGCCTTCTGGTACTGGAGGTGGGGATGTCGTGGCGTGCAACCTCATTGACAAGACATAAAACCTATATATGACTAGACATAGACAGACTAAGACAGACATTTGAATATACAGTCAAACCTGGGTAAGTGAGAAAACTCTATAAGTGAGAGTAATAGCCAGGACCCGTCATTTTAAGCTCCCAAAACCTCTATTAGCGAGAAACAGAAACCTCTGTAAGAGAGAGTCGTTTTTCCCTCATGGACCTTCGTAAGTGAGACTGCTACTTATCTATACCTCTAAGCGACAGTCGAGCTTTATTTATTTATATTATTTAGGAAGCTCAAATGAAAAATCAAACTACAAATTTAGCATCTGCTATTTTATGACTCATTCTTAACTTTTGTGGAACTTCCTTCCATTGTTTTTGTATTGTTTTCTCGTCAATATTGAACCTGTTCTATTTCGTGAAACTAAATAACGTTGTTATTTTATCGCATTCTTTTCGAATGTACACGTGTGCCTGTGTACCGTCCTGTTTGTTAATTAAAGTACTGTCATTAAGTGATAAACTTAAAATAGTGTATGCGTTTGAATCCGGAAAATCGCGAAATGAAATTTAGAGGGGCATTAGCGAGAAACTCGGGTTAGTGAGAAACCTCTATAAGCGAGAATGAGATTGTGCTCCCTTGAACTCTCGCTTATCCAGGTTTGACTGTAATTCAAAAATAAATGGAACGAGGGCGTACGTGACCAGCAGCGAGGCAGTACATTTTTAGACTTCTGAAAAGACAGACATACAAAAAGACATACAAAGAAACAGAACGAATAATAAATTACCGTTCTTATATAAGATATTCAAGTGACCTTCGACCGTTCAAGTAGTCATTCGACCGTTCAAAATCCAATAGTCTTTTTTCTTCGATTTTTATAATACAATTGAAAGCGATTTTACTAATTGAAGAAATCCTATTCTCGGTGGTAGGACGTCATGTGAGTCGAACGGGTAGGTAGCAGCTCCATGCCTTTTTCTGCCGCGAAGCAGTAACGCGTTTCGGTTTGTACGGAGCGTCCCCAATTTATGAATTATTTATAATTATTATTTATTACTCGCCAATTTATGAATATGAGGTCCCCACTGCAGTGAAGAGTACTGGAATACCAGTACTGACATTTTCAGAACTCCGGGTTTCTCGGATTACATATCATACGATCGATTTGTAAATCGTATGTTAGAAACATTACCTAGACCGGAAGCAAAAATATTTAAAATAAAGCCGGTCATTGAACGCTTAAATTCAAAATTTTCCCAACTGTATACATTGGCACAAAACCTGGCCGTTGATGAGAGCCTCACGATGTGGAAAGGTTGGCTGGACATCAACCAATTCATACGGAATAAAGCAGCGACAGTTTGAATAAAGACGTATGAAGTCTGCGGGAATAGTGCCGTCTCTTGTGCTCAGATTACTCGATGGTCTGGAGCACAAAGGCCATACTATCTGGATGGATAATTTTTACAATTCACCAGCACTAGCGCGGGAACTAAAAAGCCGGGGATTTGACTGTGCGCCTGTACAACAAAATCCCACAAGATGTTCAGAACCTACATATACATAGGTTTACGAAAACTATTAAAGAACATCTGTGCAATAAAGCTTACTATAAAGTCAATGATTATCTAGAAGATTGCACAAAGCGGGAATGAGTTGCTCGCTCCGGGCAGTTCAATATTGTAATAATTGTTATGTTATTATACTCATGTAAAAATGAATACATATTTAAAAAAATCTAATATTAAAAAAATAATCTAAAATTAAAAAAAAAATCATGCCCGCTGAGCTGAGTTTCTTGCCAATTCTTCTCAGGACGGAGGCTAGTTTTTGTGAATTGGCGGTAGTTCTTTTGACGTTCAACAAGTATGTACTTTCATTTATGTTGAATAATTTTTTTTTGATTTGATTTGATTTGATTCAAGCCGTCTTTTGACGACCATTCCCATTGATAAGATGATGACAAGATAAATATAAATTTCATTAACCGTCGTCTCTTGCCACCGAGTAATCCGGCTATTAGTAGTCCGGATTACTCCGCTCTTCAGCATGATCGCTGCCAGCTGTTGGGCATAAATGTTTGTCTCCCTGACAATTAAATCAATAATATCCCGATCCCATATGGCAACGAATGCTTCGGACTCGTGAAAGAGATCTTAGGACCACTATTAATCTGCGAGAATGTTTCCCGCCTCAAACGAGGTTCAATTTCAGGCTCCGGAAACGCTCTTCGGTCGAACTTAAATTTATTGTTCGGCTCCATGGGAACAGTCGTCGGTAAGTCGGGTGTCGGGGCACTGTTAGCGGGAGTTTCCAGTTCGTCGTGAGGTTCCTGCATGCGCATTCTTTCGACTCGTGAAATCATCGGCCGCGCCATCCCCTCGCTCTCACTATCCGAGTCTTCCTCGTTGCCTGAAAGGAAATAACTTACAAGTGGTAGGACCTCTTGTGAGTCCGCACGGGTAGGTACCACCGCCCTGCCTATTTCTGCCGTGAAGCAGGAATGCGTTTCGGTTTGAAGGGTGGGGCAGCTGTTGTTACTATATTGAGACCTTAGCACTTATATCTCAAGATGGGTGGCGCATTAACGTTGTAGATGTCTATGGGCTCCAGTAACCACTTAACACCAGGTGAGCCGTAAGCTTATCTATGCACATAAGCAATAAAAAAAATCTGGTTTTGATTACAATAGGTAATTACAATTACAGATACAATTTTACATCGGCGATTGTTAAAAATAAGGTTTGTGTCTTACCATAATTAAGCAGTGAGATTATCTCTTCATCTCGCAGAGGACAGTTTCTAAAAAATGAATATTTTAATCAATGGTAGTAATTATTTTTATCTTGTAGGTGGTAAACCGAGATGAACTTACAGTGGTCGATCACTTTTTTTTGAAGAATGTTCAACTTCCGGACTTCTGAAAAATTAAATAAATATTTAATTACATATAAATTTAAAACAAATAAACGTATATAAAATCGTTTGATAAATACTTACGCAGGCATGGATAAAATGCTTTCGTGTCCACGAGAAGTGGATGGCATTGTTTGGTCGATCACCCCCATGGATGACCATATAGACTCTGCTCTGAAAACCATAACAAACATTTGTTTAATAAGGATATTTGTTTTACTTTCAAGAACATAAATATCAATCAGAATAGTCACCTTGGATTTGTTTCCACCACGGGCGGGAGAACCTTTACCCTTTTAGGGTGGAGTGGTGTCTCTAACGGTTCTCTAGTGGGTACATTTTTTAGTGTATTAAAGAATATTCTGAAATACGCATTGATATTAAAAGAAATATTTAAGGAATAAATCAATAAACAAGTTACAAGAAAAAAACATAAAAGAAAAACGATAAACCAATATATAAATAATTACAATATATTATAATAAAATAAAAATTGAGTTTTAGTTTAAAAAAAATATTACGGCTCAGAAACCGAAGGCATGTCCGGGACACGACGAATTTGGCCACCACGTGTCCTTGCACCGCCACGGGCTGCCACACCGCCACGGGCTGCCACACCGCCACGGGTTGCCACACCGCCACGGGCTGCCACACCGCCACGGGCTGCCACACCGCCACGGGCTGCCACACCGCCACGTGAACGGGCTCTACCACCACCTCTTACAAGCCCACGCCCACTTGCTTCACAGTTCTTACTAGTACTATTTTGTGCAAAATAAAGCCAACATAAACCAACTGAGCATGCAAAATAAACACACGCATGGTTAAAAAATGTTGAACATTAGAAATGCTAAAATCAACCAAAATCAATCAATCTAATCAAAATTACTTTAAGTTACAAAGAAACATTTAAAAAATCTAATCGCTGAGAAAAAAATTAAAAAAAACAAGATGATTGGCTTATATAAAGAATCTGGTATCCTAATATAAAATATGTAAAAAAATAATCAAATATCTAAAATAATAAAAAAAATCATTAAAAAATTTCATATGAAATTCAAAGGTCCTGTCGATAATATTTTTACCGCCAGCCATTTTGTCATTTGACCCGCCTGTGGTAAGTCCGCTTAGCGGACCTAACGTTTTTTTTACGGTATCTTAACGGTTGAATTTTTTACATTTGCTACTAAAATACACGTATTTTGTACTTATTAGATTGAAGTTCACTAAATAATGTTCTGATTACACAATCATTTTAATAAATTTCATAATTTTTCAAACAGATATCACAAAACAAAATCCACTTAAGACTTCGAAAAATGACTTGGTCGTAGCTGCGATGGCGGTTTTTACCTTAAAATGTAAAGGATATACTCCTGTTAGTAAATAAAATTAATTAATACTTACTGTTGCATATTTCTCAGCAGACGAACCAAATTTTTTGATAAATTAATTACTGTACGACCGACTAATTCGCGGGAAGCACTGTTTGAAAGTTTTGAAACTGCCAACCATAAATTTTTTTTTTGGTACAAATTTTTCTTGTTAGAAAAGGCAAGGGGATCTAAGCCCATAAAGCCTCCAACCATAGATTATACACTTTATATATTTGAGACTGCCAACGGCTAAATCAACGATCTAATCGAGCTAATCAACTTGATTTTGTACCACCGACCAAACAAATTTTATGTAATAAGGCGAACCTATTCATGCTTAGTCGATTTTTAAAGTACTTCAGAACGAAAACTCTAGTAAAAAATGTAACAGCCCATAATATAGAAAGTCCGCTGAGCGGACGCGGCACTGTGGCCGCCACTGGCCGCGTCTGTGGGAAGTCCTTTGAGCGGACGGGTCACCGACGGACACCACACTGTGGAGATGTAGGTTCGGTCCAGCATATCCTCTTATCATACTGCTTATAGATTTAGCACGAGTTGTACGATCGGCCGCCTGCTTTACATCATTCATTCTTGGGTTAAATCTCCAATAGTATGTCCATCACAACGTTCTATTAGGAGGAACTATTTCTGTTACTGCTTTTAGTGTTTCTTTTACTTCATCTATTTTTTTAATTTATGATTACAATCATCAAAAGATGAAAAAAAACCTGGTTTAATTCGTTTTTCGTAACAATGTATTTACTGTTAAAAGTTTGTTCACGAAGCCCGCTATAGAAAGCAGAGTATTAAATACACTTGACATTGGCGAAATCTAAAAGGAAACGCCATAAACCTAAGAGATAGATAGATAGATACTGTTAAAAGTAAGGCGTTTCAGAAAAAATATCGTTTGTCAACCTATCATCGGTCAAAAGCCATTAGTGTCAATGTCAAAAGCGAATCGAAGAAAAACATTTCCAAAACAAAATTCAAAACAGAACTTATTTTCACAACAATTATGAATGAAAATAACGTTATATGTGTAACATGTTTGTCCTCTGATCGAAGTTTGATACCTCTAAGCAAAATAAGCGGAAAAATTAAGTTCGTTAACTTGTATGAGGTTGGTTTTGTGATAAAAAACATTAAAATATTTTTTGCACGCAGATTGAAAATATGATAAATTATGAATGTCCAAATTGTGGTAATGTTCAAGGGTGGTGAAATTTATTGTCAATATGCCATGTCATAATTATAAAGGTTTATAATGAACTCTGCAGGTTCCTCCTATGGGTTACATCTGCTGGGAATGTAGTGGCATCGTAAATAAATTTTATAAATTCAAACTACAAACCGTAGAAGCCCAACAATTATTGCTCACGCGTAAGAATGTAAGTGTAAAAATTATATCATGCAGCCACAACATGAACCAGAGTTTTCGTGATTACTAAAAAATATATTATTTCAGATGCGAAATTCTTTATCGAAACTAAACGTAACTACAACTACTAACTTTAATTACGAGCTTGAATTTGATTACGATCCATTAACAAATGCAGATACAGATAAAAAATCACACGTAAAAACTGAAAGTGTTTACGAGATCACAGATTCTATTGAAACATCATATAATGTAGCCAACACAGTGAATGCTTATGTAGAAAAAGTTGAATGCACAACAAAGATAAAAGGCAAGAAACCAAAAACCGTTAACAAAGAGACTTCAAATAATAAATGCAAAACAACCAGTACATTATTTAACAAAGTAGGAAAGATTAAAACAATTAATGAGTTAACTTCTAGAAATAAACAGAAAATAGATTCACATGTCTATAAAGAAAACATTAAATCAATAAAAAAGAGGAAATTAAAGAGAAAAGATAAAGAGGATATATCTATTAACAGTAGTATAAGTAAAAAGATAACAAAAAGTGATATTGTTAAAGGAATATTAAGGAAAGATAATGATAGGTATTCAGATGATACTGAAAAAGAAGATAATCAAGTAACCAACGGTTGTGTACAAGATTTTAAAGATAAATTCGAAGAAGTGAAATATAGTGAGAACGAATTGGAAAAGATAAGAGAAGATAAAAGGAAACATTATAATTTCAAAAAGATACCTTACAAATGTGACAGTTGTGTATTGGGTTTTATGAGAAAGGAAAATTACGACTTGCATATCGTCAAAAAACATGACCAGGTAAAAATGTGGGAAATATATTTTTATTCCACAAAACATGGGTTAACTAGCTCATGATCCTTCAGCTGCTCGCAAATAAAATTAAACTAGATATAGTTTTCTGTAGGTTTCATTTTCATCATACAATGCTGTTCTTTCATTGTAGAAGTTGTTTGTGATCGTGATTTAATAATGTGTATATTTGTCTTATCCTTTATGCAATAAAGACTACACATTCCGAGACCGTAGAACTCTTATCTCAAGATAGGTGGCGGCATTTATGTTGTAGATGTCTATGGGCTCCGGTAACCACTTAACATCAGGTGAGCCGTGAGCTCGTCCACCCATCTAAGCAATAAAAAAAAATCTGTAGAGCTTAAGCCTCTCAATAAACCCTAGCATTATGTACCTACAGTATAGTTACAACAGCTGCCCCACCCTTCAAACCGAAACGCATTACTGCTTCACAACAGAAATGGGCTGGGTGGTGATACCTACCCGTGCGGACTCACAAGAGGTGCTGCCGCCAGTAATAACGCATATTATAATTTTTTCGAGTTTGATTTTTATTACACGTTACGTTATTCCTTCACCGTGGAAGTCAACCGTGAACATTTGTTGAGTACATATTTCATTAGAAAAATTGGTACTCGTCTGCGGGATTAACACCGTTGCATCGCTACATACGAATGCACCGGACGTCTTATCCTTTAGGCCATGCAATAAAGACTAAACATCCTTAAAACATATCGACGCTTGAAAGGCAAACGTGACTAAGCGACAATAACTGCTTTGTACATAAATGATAGGCAATAACCATATTCGATGCGCAAAAAATATATATTTCTAGGTCTATTAAAATCATTTCAATCCTACAGCTAGATTAGTTAAAATAGATTTTTTTTCAGGTATTTCAACTTTTTTTTTTTTATTGCCCTTGTAGGCAGACGAGCATACGGTCCACCTGATGGTGAGTGGTTACCATCGCCCATGGACTTCAGCAATGCCAGGGGCAGAGCCAAGCCGCTGCCCACCGCTTAATACTCTCCACAAGCCTCGTTTGAAGAAGGACATGTCATAGCGCTCGGGAAACACCGTGGAGGGGAACTCATTCCAAAGCCGGATGGTACGTGGCAAAAAAGATCTCTGGAAACGCACCGTGGATGACCGCAGTGGCTCCAGGTACTTTAAATTAGTCTGTAAAGTTCAGGCATAGTCGCTTAGTCACGTTTGCCTTTCAAGCGTCGATATGTGTTCTCTTTCACAGACCGTAGGTGAATATGTTTGTCCGGTATGCCAAGTAAGATTCGCTTGCGAGGCCTCAATGAACAAACACAAGAGCAAACATTTCGTTTCGTACAGATGTCGCTTGTGCAGCTTCGAAACGTCAGAGCTTTGGTCGGCCGTAAAGCACAACAAGAGAAAGCACAAATTCGATAGTAATGACAAGATTCATTGCGCAGAATGTGAGGTCGTTGTCAAGTAAGTTGTCTGAACGAATGTATAATCTATTCTTTTAATTTATAACTCAGATGGGTGGACGAGCTCACAGCCCACCTGGTGTTAAATGGTTACTGGAGCCCATAGACATCTATAACGTAAATGCGCCACCCGCCTTGAGATGTAAGTTCTAAGGTCTCAAGTATAGTTACAACGGCTGCCCCGCCTTTCAAACCGAAGCGCATTACTGCTTCACGGCAGAAATAGGTATAGTGGTGGTGGCACGGACTCACAAGAGGTCTTACCAACAGTAAATCGACTGCTAGAAGACGTCACGTAACTAAAAAGTGTTACGCTCTTCGTTTTTGGCGCTCGACTTAACTATACATAAATGTGATCCTTAATTATAAGCAAGTTAAGGCTGATATTTAAAAAACATTTTTTTTATATATCATCTTTGTGTTATCTCTATAATATATTAGCATATAATAATATTCCTATATTATAAAAAATGCGTTAAAAATACGAAATAATAAATAAAAAAAAAAAAAAAACGATTGCAATCAGTACTTCCATGCTCAAAATCAATCTTTATAACTACATATTTAATGACAATTAAAAAAAATTATCCTAGTTTAATTGTTTTTTTTTTGTATGTTCTAGATTACTTATTTTTAGATAGATGGCGTTGATTTTTTTCTTTAGGTATTAAAATTTCGCTGCTGACCGTACTTATATGAGCGAAATTGGCCGAGAGCCCGTCCTATTATCGTCTTAATCGCATTGTAGAAACTGAATCGACTTAAAAAAAGCAATCGCCATTTTGAATGTTTGGCCAACAACTGAATGTTTGGTTTTTTTTTTATAACTTGACTGGACTTTTTTACTGGTGGTAGGACTTGTGAGTCCGCATGGGTAGGTACCACCACCTAGCCTATTTCTGCCGTGAAGCAGTAATGCGTTTCGGTTTGAAGAGTGGGGCAGCCGTTGTAACTATACTTGAGACCTTAGAACTTATATCTCAAGGTGGGTGGCGCATTTGCGTCGTAGATGTCTATGGGCTCCAGTAACTACTTAACACCAGGTGGGCTGTGAGCTCGTCCACCCATCAAAGCAATAAAAAAAACAAAACTGGAAAGAAATCACGCCCGGTAATCCGGCCCTAATTTAGGAGTTCCTATGTTATGGGCGACTGACATACATTCTTTAATACATGAACAATGTAAACAACTTTTTAAGACTGTATTCAAGATTATTCATGACTAAGCTACCCCTACCGACTACTAAAAATACCAGTGATTATTGTCGCACAAAGCATTCCGACTCGATCAGCCGAACGAGGCGGAGCTCTCTGTAATTATCTTTGTACACTCGAGATGCAATAAATGGAATTCATTGGAAAAGTGAGTCTTAATTACTGTATCACTATGGAAGGCAATGATAGTGATGAAGAGAATGGCGTCAACGACGATGACGTCATCATTTTAAAAACACCACGGAACCAGCCTCTCTTTCATATACATATATAGATAACAAACACCCAGATAAAGAGCAAACAAGCATGCTCACCGCACGAACGTTTGCCGGACGCGGAAATCGAACTCGCGACCCTCGACTCTACAATCAGGGCCGCTAACCACTTCACCACCGGGATAGTAATTCGAATGGTCACATTACAGAACCGGAGACGAATTGACTGAGCACATGAGACTCAAACATGTATTGTTCTGTAATGAGTGCGGTGAGAAGTTCAAAGGGAAACACACGCTGAGAACGCACATGAGGTGAGTTTTAGAGGAGAAGGTGGGTGTCTGTAAAGTCTTTTGCTTAGTCTGCTTTAGCCCTCAGCAGCGGGGGCTCGGCTGTGTCTGGCGTCGCTTAGGTCCATGAGCCTCTACCGACGACGGCAATGACAAAAACTTTCGAAGCGATGTTTATGTTGGCAGTGCGCCGGTCTGGCGGTAAGTGGCCACCGGAGATAATCGTGAACACCGCCGTCTTAGTTTGAGAGCAACGCGGATTGGTTGTACTTTTTATTATTATTTATTGCTTAGGTGGGTGGTCGAACTCACAGTCTACCTGGTGTTAAGTGGTTACAGGAGCCCATAGACATCTACAACGTAAAAGTCGCCACCCACCTTGAGATATAAGTTCTAAGGTCTCAAGTATAGTCACAACGGCTGCCCCGCCCTTCAAACCGAAACGCATTACTGCTTCACGGCCGAAATAGGCGGGGCGGTGGTATGGTACCTGAAGCTGGTTCAAGACCCTATAGTTACACCTCGTTTTTCAGACGAGTCCATTCGGCTAAGCGACAGCACGTGTGCGGCGTGTGCAGCAGGACTTTTGTCAGTAAGTCGCGCCTCGAATCTCACTTAGTGAGTCATGACGAAACGTTAGCGAAGAAGTTGGCCTTCTGTACCGTCTGCAACGTGCAGTACAAGAACATATTTGTGTATAGAAACCATTTGAAGAACAGCGCCAATCACACGGAGAGACTGTGAGTGTTGACTTCTTTTTTTTATTATGGCAATCGGCTAACGCATTGTTGCCATACTAATTCGAAATCGGCTGATTTCTTTATTATTATGGTAATTGACTAACTTTTTTTGTTTTTCGTACCTAAGCTGATAGCCTTGAGAGCCTATTTCAGCGTAACCTTAACTAGTAGGTGAGCTCACGGGGCTCAACCCTGACGACGTTGCTAACACGAACCCTAGCAAGAGCAGTGCTTCGCAGAATCTACCACCGGATCGGAAACGCGACCCACTGAGAAGATCCGGCGAGAAACTCAGTGGGCTGTGTCTGTTAATTTACTCGAGTCGTGTTTGGGGTGACGTCGACTGCTTTCCATTCTGTCCGCAGGATCGGGAATTGGCTAACGCATTGTTGTCATACGAATTCGAAATCGGTTAAATCTTTTTTTAATATGGCAATTGGGGACAACGAATTATTGCCATACGAATTTGAAATCGGCAAATCTTTTTATGATGGCAATCCGCTAACGCATTATTGCCATGCTAATTCGAAATATGCAATTTTTTATTATTATGGCAATTCCTTAATACAGTTTCGCCATACGATTTCAAAATCGGTTAAATCTTTTTTTAATATGGCAATCCGCTAACGCATTATTTCCCTACGAATTCAAAATCGACTAAAAGGGTCGTGTGGCGAGGCTGCTGTCGTTTCACCATTACACGTTACTGATTTAAATCTATTTATAAATGTACTAGCCGTACTCGCCCGCTTCGCTGGGCATTTAAAATTAAGATTATTATTTCTCACAAGATTCTCATCATTAATGCCCCGGCAACTGGTGTAGAGAGTCCAACACTCATACAATATCAGCCTATCCATTAAGTACATGTATTTTCTTCATGGATACCAAGTTTCAAGTCAATCGGATGCACGGTTCTGTAGTTATAACGGAACATCCGTAAAAACCACTGTAGATTTATATATTAGTATAGATTACTGAGAGCGGCTTCGTTCTAATCCAGGTATCCCTGCCCGGAGTGCGACAAGAAGTTCGCCTCAAACGTTTACAGACGTCAGCATTACAACTTCTATCATTTACGTAAATCGCCATATAAATGCGAAGCGTGTAACAAGGTGAGCAAATCTAATTCGACTTTCCGTCTCTTTCGCTCCCCGTTGAACGTGACGCGCGCGTGACCGAGATAGAATGAAGAAAGCTTTAAAAATACAACCCGATTTCAACCTTACGATTCGAAGTGAGTGGCGGATATGGCATCGTTATGTCCATGGGCTCAGATCAGTGGGCGTTGAACTCGTTCGCTGATATTTTGTTTTCTTGTTTTTTTATTTCTTAGTTGGGTGGACGAGCTCACAGCACACCTGGTGTTAAGTGGTTACTGGAGCCCATAGACATCTACAACGTAAATGCGCCACCCACCTTGAGATATAAGTTCTAAGGTCTCACTATAGTTACAACGGCTACCCCACCCTTCGTACCGAAACGCATTACTGCTGCACGGCGGAAATAGGCGGGGTGGTGGTACCTACCCGTGCAGACTCCCAAGAGGTCCTACCACCAGTGATAAACCAGCTTTAAAATTATAATCTGATTTCGATCTTACAATTCGAAGTGAGTGGCGGACTTCACATAGTTATGTCCATGGGCCCAGATAAGGGGGCGTTGAACTCGTTCGCTGATAAATAAATAAATTAACCGTAAATCCACGATTAGCCACTTATGACGTAACACGCATCGTCGTAATGAATTTTTTTTTCTATTGCATAGATGAGTGCACGAGTTCACGGCCCTCCTGGTGTTGAGTGGTCACCGGAGCCCATGGACATCAACAACGTAAATACCGCTACCTGTTTTGAGACATAAATTCTAAGGTCTCAAGTATAGTTACAACGGCTGCCTCGCCTTTCAAACCGAAACGCATTACTACATCACGGCAGAAATAGGCGAGGTGGTGGTACCTACCCGCGCGGACTCACAAGAGGTCCTACCACCAGTAGTCTTTCTTTCACCCCTCCGATATATTAATGAGGGTACCAGTACATCCGCATACCCCTATTCCAGCTCCTCATATCGAAGTGGCGTCTCAAGGACCACGAGAGGAAGCACCACGGCTCGAGCCGACCCAGGGACCACTGCTGCAAGACCTGCGGGAAGAGATTCTACGTGAGTATCAGTTGATGATGATGATGTGGTGGTGGTGATGATGATGATGACGATTATGATGATGATGATGATGATGATGGTGATGACGATGATGATGATGCTGAAGATGATGATGATGATCAATGTATGGCAAATAGAAATCGACGCTACGATAAACTGTTTTCCGAAATCCAAAATTACATTAAACACTAATAGTATACTAGGTACATATGAGCGTTAGGATATTTAATAAACTACCAAAGAAATTAAGAGGCCTAAACGATTTTCATTTTAAGAAAAAAAACTAAAAGATAATTTTATTAGTGACTAGCGGCCTGCTCCGGCTCCGCTCGGGACTTTAATAAAAATTTCAACGTTATTTGACGTTTTGTTTTTTTAAATAAAAGAACACTTATTGCGGCATAACTATAATAGTTAGACATATATGCTGTCGCGCCACTTTTTGTAAATAATACTGTGTTCTACAAAGTCGTAGTACATTATTTTATTCTATCATTAATAGTTTTCGCAGGGCACGCGATGTAAAGACTATTTTAGCTAATTTTTCTACACCTTGGGTTACATTATTAGAGTTTTAGTAAGGATCCCTAATTTTTTCAAAAAAGATTGTAGCCCATGTCGCTCGGGAATAGTGTAGCTTCCAAACAGTGAAATAATTTTTCAAATCGGTTCAGGAGTTTCGGAGCCTATTCAGTACAAACAAACAAACAAACAAATCTTTCCTCTTTATAATATTAGTATAGAAAATTATTATCACATAAATGATTTTCTTAGAGACGACATTGAAGATAAATGGATTTTTTTAATTATTAGTTATTAGATGAGGATCTTCTTCTTCATCGTTTCCTCACTACTGGGAATCGTGACCACACGTGACTTTCCTCCATAGTGCTCGGTCATGGGTGGCATGGGCCAACCAGCTTCCTTAACCAGATCTGACCATATGTCTGGTGTTCCGCCCACGACGCGCTTGCCTTCTATGCGACCCAAAACTATGAGCTTTTCTAACAAGTGGCTGATGGCAGAGAGCTTTTTGTTGGAAGTTTAGCTCTATTAAAATGGAATGGATGAGGATCTGTTAGGCTCTTTCTATATATATATGTACAGGGCGTCGCAGAAGTTGACAAAAAAATATGCCTTTGCTATTTATGCGTGTCTGTGTTAAAAAAAGAACTATTCCTTCGTTATAAAGGGCGTCGCAGAAGGTGACTAAAAAAAATTCTTTTGCCATTTAGGCGTGTCTGTGTTATTAATTTTTTTAAATATCCCTTTGCTCTTTATGCGTAGATTATGTAGACTACAGCCGTAGCGTTAACTTGTTAAAATTTTAATTACTACAATTAATTAATACTAAAAAAATTTTTTTACTAAGAAATTATGAATTTATTTATGTTTTCTATTAAATTTTTTCATTATACAGGGGGTCTCAGGTGACAAAAAAAAATATCCCTTTGCTATTTAGGAGTGTCCATGTCACCATTTTTTTTTCTTAAATATTCCTTTGCTTTTTATGCGTGCTGTGTATTGCTTTTTATGCATGTCTGTGTTAGTTTTTTTTTATTATCTCCCTGGACTTTTTGGCGGGAACGAAAAGTCCACTGAAAAAATCTTAGTAAATGACCACCATTTTACTGAGATTATATTTCATCCCATATCATCTCAATTAATTTCATTTAATTTCACCCCAGTTGATTAATGTCTCAAATTAATCATCTTCATTTCATTTCACTCCATAATATCATTTTTCATAAAAATATGAATAATATAAATTAAAATAAGACATGACTTAAAGATCTCAGTTACCAGGTCATAAAATCTCTTAAAAAATTATCTCCCTTCATTTACGTGTAGACTCTATCCAGCCTGCACGGTCATCAGTTGATCCACGACCCGCAGAGGGGTTACATGTGCGAGGAGTGCGGCGACACGTTCAAACAGCCGGCCGCTCTGTATACGCATTCTAGATTAGTGCACAGGAATGCGAAGTGAAATATGACCCTTTGACTGCGGTGTAGGTCACCGGTGCCCTACGCGGCGCATTCGACGTTGGCCTCTTTCCATAATAAACATTGATTGTGTTTGTATTAATAAAATATATATTTAAATACTTAGTTTTATTTATTATTATTCTTTTTTATTGCTAGATGTGTGGACGAGCTCACAGTCCACCTGGTGTTTAGTGGTTACTGGAGCCCATAGACATCTACGACATAAATGCGCCAGTATAGTTACAGCGGCTGCCCTACCCTTCAGACTGCTTCACGGCAGAAATAGACAGGGTGGTGGTACCTACCTCGGACGCTTGGGCGAAGAGTGCTGGGGAGTCGTTTAGTGGGTAGGCCCCTGAAAACATCCTTGGGCCCGCGGTCTCGCTGTCGTGGACCAGTCCCACATACCCCGCGGGCCCCCTAGGCGTGGGGACCTCGTAGGAGGTTCGGCCCCGACCCGAAAAAATTAGGTATGTTGCGATGTACTTTTATTATAGGTGCTCTTAAATGATCCTAACTTTACCATCGATTCGAAATGCGGTTCCAACAAGGAGATAAATCGACATGAAACTCTAGGCTGCCGGAAACAGGGCTTTACTTGAATATTGGTTTCCACCAAATATATTCCATGACGTCGAAAGACATGACTAGGTCGATGGGGATCACTGGTGACCAATTAGCGTCAAACGGGCGCTCTGCCAAAATAAATAGCCATTTCGTTCCGAAACTCAATTTCGCAATAATTCTAATCAGCGCGACGTTTTCATTGCTTTAGTTGGCAGATCACCACCCGCCCCCAGCGATGGCATGTTGTCACCGTCATGAGACATGAGATCAAATTATTATTTTTGTCTATCTAGGCAAACGGGTCTTAGCTAAATGACATCACTCGACGAAAATGAAAAACAAAAAACAACAATTTTTACAAATGATTTATTAATTTACTTTTTCATTTTTATTTCAAAATTAATTACTATTAAATGCGAACGTAACAAAAACTAGATAACGCTTTTTTTTTACAAGTACATATTATTGAACTGCTTTATAAGATTCAATTTGAATTCTATTACCTTTATTTTATTATTTGTAATTTTCTATAAAAATTCTTGAAGTCAGTTAGAAAGCACAATGTAAAATTCAACTGGCAACGCGTCCCCGACCAGACTCCGTGAGATATCTCCTTTAGAGCGTCATTTATGTTCACGACAGGCCGAAACAAAGATTTCCGTTTAGAATAAAACTTTGAGAAGCGCTGTGCTCATACCTCTCTTTTTTATGATCGAAGCATTACTAGTGGCTCGGAGGCCTTTCCAGTTTCAGCAGGACCGGTGGACGAGCAAATGCTCAGCCAGGAGGGGTGGGATTAACTTACAGAAGCCCGTGCTCCTCCGAAGGAGACCTAACAACTCAAGAGCAGCTGCTTCGCGAATGAATTTCACACGAGACTTTTTGGCGGGAACGCGAGGAGTGAAGTTGTATGATTTGTTGTTTTATTCTGTCTATTTAGTGTTTCTTCAGGTTTAAACGTGTAATAACGGTGGTTTATTAATCTGTGAAAGTGCACAAATGTGGAAAAACTAAATAAAACCGTTGAACGTAACTTCCTAACTTCTCGAGATCCTCCAAAAAGTCCACTGAAAAAGTCTCCGTAAACGACCACCATTTTACTGAGATTATATAATATTTCATCCAATAACATTTCACATTTCATTTCATGCCATGTTTTATATTAATCAACTTCATTTCATTTCACAATATCATTTTTCATATAGTGCAGTTTCCATTAAAATTAAAATAATGCTTGACCTAAAAGTCTTAGTTACCATGTCATAAAATCCCTTACAAAAAAATCTCACACGTCTCTATGCTTCGATCGAATGTGAGTTGACAGCGCAGAGTTCTGCGTGAAAGTGGCGGCGCAGACCGCACACGAATACGGACGTTCGCCTGTGTGCGTGCGGACATGATTCGCGAGTATTCTATTCGTCTGTAATATACCGAAATACGTGAAGCAAAAACTTACGACTTCCAACAAGGTTGCGTTAAACGTTTAACGCTCCTGGGGATTTATTTTTATTTTTTATTGCTTAGATTGGTGGACGAGCTCACAGCCCACCTGGTGTTAAGTGGTTACTGGAGCCCATAGACATCTACAACGTAAATGCGCCACACACCTTGAGATATAAGCTCTAAGGTCTCGAGTATAGTTACAACGGCTGCCCTGCCCTTCAAACCGAAACGCATTACTGCTTAACGGCAGAAATAGGCAGGCTGGTGGTACCTACCCGCGCGGACTCACAAGATGTCCTACCACCTGTAAGAAGGGGAATAGAAAGACATAGAGCGAGTATAAATGCGTGGCACTCGCACGCATTTACAGGCCAGCGCGAGCGTTCGCAATGTGTGACGTCCAATATTTTAATGAAGTATTTAAAAAAAAGTATATCATATCACCATCGTAACACCATCGTCAGACATCGTAGGGGCGAATAGAGTGATCGAGCTAAGAGAAATATTGAGTACACCAATCACGTTTGCTGTCTTAGAACAATTTAGAAATCTTCTCTTGACGTTAGCAAACGAAAACGAATGACAGTTCTTAGGACGGAGGCACCGCTCTTCAAGAAGGCCGGTTGGTAAGTGTGATGGCGTCTACGCACCTCCATTGGCTAGGCTCTGTCGTACGATGTTAGCCGAGTTCCGACGATACCGCAATCTTGCTGCCATCTCTAGGCAATCGTGCTGCGTTTCGTTTAGCTACCAAACTAATGATCGTTTCCGACATATATATCAATGTGCTTTAGCCAATTCACAAATGCGGACTGAATCATTTTAATCCGTATCCTGAAGGACGGAGGTATTAGCCTCAAGGACCGTCCCTTGCCCCTGTAGGAAATTATGATGACCCGCAGATAAAATTGACAAAATAAAACAATTCATCCGACTTTGCGTTCCCGTCGAACAATCTAGAACGTGCCTGAAATAGCTTACCGTGAACCCCCTACTGCAGACGCCGCAGATCTTATTCCGAGGCGGCGAGACCCCTTCGTGGATCCTCAGCTTGTGCTTCAACAGATCCGCCTTCCTTAAGTAGTTCTGTTGGAGATCAGTGTGGTTGTTGACGCGTCTCGTGATACAAACTGAAGCTAATGCGGACGCGACGTTACTTTTTCGTCAACCGAGAACTTCGCAGTTTTAAAGGGAGACACAAGTGAACGAGCTCGTGGCTCAACCGGTTTTATGTGGTCAGCGGTGCTCATAAACACTGCAAAGTGAATGTCGCCACCCAATACGAGACTTGAGGTCTATGGGAATAGTTGTGTGCTGATATCACCAAATAATACCACTGACCGCCATAAGTGACTACAGATTACAAAGGTCACAGGCGGACGCATCACACAAACCAACCAAATACAAACAAACCAAATTTCGGTTAGGCTAAAAACGTATTTTGACAGATGTTACCTTGTCGCACTCTTCACATCTGTTGTGAATCTTCTTCAAATGAACCAAATCGTAATGGTTCTTCATGTATATGTTTTTACTGAAGACCTTTCCACAATTCGGACATGGGATCCTGTTGAACAGGCAAATACAGATCTGCTGCGTTAATTAAAAAAAAAAAAACGAATAAAATAGTGCGCGTGCAACTTGGTGCACGTGAAAGAAGTGAAACTTCTTTTTCGGTATTGTAGTTTTCTTAAGTTTTGTAATAGGGAATGCTATGTATTAGAAAACGACCTCTTCACCGTTTATATATATTTTAAATAATAGAAATATATATATTTTTTTAATCCTGCAAAATAAAAGTAAAATATAAGATAGTTAATATGTTACTGCCATCTACAGGAGCAATGAGAAAATAATAACAAGCCATCTAGTGGCCGACGCGGGTAAGCAGGATGTGTATAAGAGAGACGACCTAGCTCGCTTTCTCCCTCTCTTCACGGTTGAGTGGTTCGCGAGACGCTCTGTATATTTTCTCCCTATCGCTCTCCCTAAATTGTATCTTTCCTCTCTAGCCGTAACGAATCTGCCGCGATTTAAGTTTCACCCTCAACGCGCCTAAAGAAGTTTCACTTCTAAAACAACCATATCGAAGAGTTCCTTTTTTGGATGTATAGCTTACGAATCTACCCACAATACGCTAACCCTGAGTGTGGTAAAGCGACTGAGAGACTCACCAGAATAGTTATTACCGCGGTTCACTGGTGGTATGGTCCCCGCAAGTGGCACCACCGATCTCTGCCCATTTCGGTGAAACAGTATATTCCAATAGACCACGACCCAATCACGACCGACATCAAGTTTCAAAGCATTTTAAATAAATGAAAAACATTCATGAATATTCACACCCTGTATAAGCACACACATGTATATAATTGCTTTATTGCTTAGTCGGGTGGACGAGATTCCTGGTATTAATTGGTCTCCGGAGCCCATGGACATCATCAACGAGATAGCCGCCACAAGCCTCGAGACGGCTGTCTTACCCTTCAAATCGAAACGCGTTACTGCTTTGCGACAGAAAAAGGCAGGGCGGTTGTACCTACCCGTGCGTACTCACAAGAGGCCTTACAACTGTTATCCCCGGAGCGACCAATACTTCACCAACCTCCGCTTCTTCCCCGGCTTATGTTTCGGGCCGTTCAAGTGTCTTCTGTATTTGTACACGTCGGTGAAGTGCTTGTCGCACTCCACGCAGTAAGCGGGCACGGCGGATGCGTGCGACAGCCTCGTGTGCATCCACAGCGACTTGTAACGGGCGAATGTCTTATTACAGCACGTGCACTTCTTCGGGGCGTGTCTCCTTCTGATATTGAAGACGGACACGCAATGTATCACGAATAGACGAGAGGTCAACGGCCTCGTTTGAATTCGAATGCGCTTACGAAATACGAACCTTACTTCTTCTTCTTGTTCTCTACCTTATCCCACTAGATGCGGTCGGCACAGCTAATTTTTCTTCACCTTATCTCACTAGGTGGGGTCGGCACAGCTAATTTTTCTCTTCCACTCTCTTCTATCAGCCGTCATCTCACCACTCACTCTTCTCTCTCATATCGCCATTCACACACCAAATCCATGTCTTCTTCGGTCGACCTCTTCCCCCTCTACATTGTACTATCATTTCCATAGATCCCCTAGTCACATGCATCTCCTCTCTAGGCATCACATGTCACACCAACCGCTAACCGTCCGCTCTTTAATTTATCAATCACCTGAGCTACGTGACCTGGACGTGGTACAGGAATTTGTGTACTTGGGGTCATTAATATCCAGTGACGGTGATTGTGACAGGGAGGTGGTCAGGAGGGCCCAAATGTCAAAATCAGCCGTGAAGCGATTGGAGAAGATTTGGAGAAATCGCAGCATAAACAAAAAAAGCTAAGATAAAGCTCATGAGAACCCTTATCTTCTCCATATTCTTGTACGCTTCTGAGACGTGGACCCTCAAGGCCCGTACCCGATCGAGAATTGACGCATTTGAAATGTGGTATTGGCGCAAAATGTTGGGCGTATCATGGACGGAGCGCCGAACAAATGTGTCAATTCTCGAGGAGCTAAACGCCAAGACCCGTCTATCTACAATCTGTATGCAGCGTCTCCTCAAGTACTACGGACACGTGGCCCAACAAAATCCTGAGAACTTGGAAAAATTAATAGTTGTAGGTCACCTGGAAGAAAAGAGAAGTCGAGGAAGATTGCCAACCAGGTGGACGGACATTATCAAGGAGGCCACAAACACCAGCGTCCCGGGCGCCATTAAGCAGGCCGAATGCAGGCAACATTGGAGGAAGCTGGTGCAAAAACTGGACCAAGGTGTTCACGACCCTCAGTAATGAGGAAACGACAAAGAAGAAGAAGAAGAGCTACTTCCACACTTCCTCTGATATACTCATTCTTTATCTTGTCCATTCTTGTCACTCCACAGATCCATCTCAACATTCGCATCTCTGCCGCATGCACTTACGAACCTTACTATTACTGTATATGCAAATGAAGCTTCAATTTCCCGTGCATTAGCTTCGACTATCATAATAGTATTATCTATGGTGGAAGTTATGTTTATTCTATAATTGGAATTGCTCTCTGGCTTTGTACATTCAAAAAGATGTATAACGTGCTTCCCTAAAAAATTAAAAAACTTTCAGATTTAAAAAAAAAGGTTTAAATGCTCCAGTAACCACTTAACACCTGGACTGTGAGCTCGTCTGCCCATTTAGATGCAATAAAAAAAAACCAAACCGCGTTGCTATCAAACTAAGACGGCAGTGTTCACGATGATCTCCGGTGGCCACTTACCCCCAGACCGACGCACTGCCAATATAAACGTCGCTTCGAAAGCTTTTGTCATTGCCGTCGTCGGTAGAAGCTCATGGACACAAGCGACGCCAGGGCACAGCTGAGCCCCCGTTGCTAAGGGCTAAAGCAGTCTAACCAGCTCTTACTCACCTCAAATGATCTTTGATGCAGTACCTCATTTTGAAGGACACTCCGCAGTGATGACAGACGAAGCTCTCGTGGAGCCGTCTGTGGTGCGCGTAAAAGTCACGACGTTCACTAAACAATAATAATAATAATACCGATAAACCTGTGCATATTGTGAGGAGGTTCCTCACTCTGGACTCCTAACCACTGGTGGCTTTTGTCGAAGGCACCGCCATCAGCGGCAATCTATTTTTATTAGGTAAGAGACCGCTTCCGAAAACGAAGACAGACGATAGGACTAATGACACCTTTGTGAAAAATAGATAGATAGATAAATGTGTCACAAACCAACGCTTGGGTCGATCGTGCCTCTCTATCGCTCGTTCTGTGCTCTCGCTCGCACGCTCAGGCTCGGGTGGAACGTGACACTTTTTCGTGCGTGCAGCCGGTGTTCATCGATTCATTTCATTTATTTATTTATTTCATTTAATTCAGATTTTGCATCCATATTACATTCATTAACATTAACATTTCATAATAATATAGTATATCAAACTTAAATAAAAACAATAACTAAAATTTCGGAATAAAATAATAATAATAATAAAACAAAAAGTAAAAATGAATGTCAAAACTACCTTAACCTATAGGCTGGTTTGGATCCAGAGTGCTCAACATGCACACGATTCATACAACTTTATCACGTCAAAAAATATCGTATTGGTAAATATCGATACACACTTGACACACTAGTGGGACTAGCGACACGGCGTTTGAGAACCACTGGTTTTGTTCGAAAAACAAAAAAACACTTACCTAAATTTAGCGTCGCATTTCAAGCACTGCAACACTGCGCCGTGCTCCCTGACGTGTCTACCTTTCGAGCTGTCACCCTGACATATCTGTCCGCAATACTGACATTCGTAAACGTCAAAATGGCTGGCGATGTGCATCTTCAGGCGAAGCTTGTCGGGAAAATTCGACTCGCAGATATCACAGATGTATGACAATCTCTTCTGTCAATGACCAATAGATAGTTCTTTCAGTTGCGTGTTGATAAATCGAGGATATAGAATGTTTACAGACTACAAAGTTTTTTAGTGGAACTTTTTTTATTTATTGGCAACGATGATTGAACGGTAATAGGCAAGTGGCTTAGTTTTGCCTTAAGCAACAGTATCCACTCATTATCAGTGTGCTTAGTGCGAATTTTTTAACGTTCTCGATAGCGTAAAAGTTAACTTGTAGTTGGAACAGCGCCCCTAGCGGCAAACGTAGGCAAACGTTTTAACTCCCTCCAAATTTGAGTTAACTTTTACGCTATCGAGAACGTTAAAAAACTCGCACTAAGCACACAGGTGGCCCGTATCGCTCGTCAGACTACAGGGACAATTAAAGCCCTAGTGTTAACAGATTACCGTGGATATCGCAATACTTTTTTTCCTACATCTCACAGATAAAACTGTGATAAAAATTCTGTATTAATCCAGGTTATAAAGTATGTTACTTTTGTGGTAACATACGAGAAAAAAAATCATAGCCATAGTTTACTGAATTACAGAGTTAGTGCAGAAGGAACTCACATTGTGATATCTCTTGTTATGACTCTCCAGTAACCTATTATTTTTGAAAAAGTACACGCAAGATTCACATTTGAACTCTTTCCCTTTAAAAAGATCACTGCATCTGTGGGTATTCAGAAATGAATTCAATTCGTCAACGTTGTTGAATCTCTTCTTCTTAAACATTGTGTTCTCTTGTAATTTTATTATTACATATTTGGGCTTTTTGTTTAATAAGGCTCGTCTTCTCGCCCAGTTACTCTGCTTTTTCATTCTCTGCTTTTTATTTTCAATTTCTTCTGCATCTAAAACTACAGAAGCTTCTTTGTTAAATTCGCTTTTTATCTCTACACATTCTGTTTGCACGCATTGCTTCGTTGTTTCTGGGGACGAGAGAGAGCTACTCTTGAATTTCTGAAATCAAAATATGCGCATACATTAATACCTTATAGCAGGGGTGGCCAACTCCTCCCTGGGACCTGGAAGCGGAGGCGCTTGCTGCGGATTACGCGTGGCGATGTGATCTCCGCTCCAGGGGGGAGCCGCGTCCCGCCGCGGCGGAAGTTCGAGCGCGGAAGCTTCAATCTCGGCGTGCCGTGCTCGAGGCGTGGTCTCGCCGCCTAGCGGACCCTGCCTACGGGCGACGGACCGTCGAGGCGATCCGCCCGGTCCTCTCGGACTGGGTGAATCGCGACCGAGAGGGAGAACTCTTCCTCCCTCTCGGCGCCGTGCCGCCGCCGTCGAGCCGGGGGTCGGAGGAGGGCGTTTGTCCAGCTCCGGCCCCTATGAGGAGGCAGTCTCCTCCCGGTGATGGTCACGGGGCGACCTAAGGGGGCTGAGACTGCGCCGCACGCTACCGTCACTCTAGCGCGCTGGCACCAGGAGGACGGGACGACGCGTCGGCGGCTGCGGACTGCGATGCGGTCCGCATTTTCGTCGTCGCTGTCGTCGCCGAACATACTGTGGAAGAGCAACCCGGTCGGCGGTGTATCGCGTTCCGACCCGGCAGGCTGGTTCTGGCCCAGCGGGGTATCCCGGAACACCAGCGGCATCGCCCGGGCGGCCTGAAGGGCCGCCGTACCGCGGAGACTGACGTCGTTGGTCGTCGACTATCGCCTCGACGACCCGTCGGTCGGGCGTCCTCGGGGTGGCGCCGCGTGTCTGGTTGTAGTGTTGACCGCGGGAGCCCCCCTACTCTGACCGGGTTTTGACCCCGGACGGAGATCGGACGCCGGGTGTAAGAGTGCAGGGGAGTCGTTTAGTGGGTGGGCCCTAAATTCCTTGGGCCCGCGGTCTGCTCTCAACACCTGCAGATCGTTGAGTCTCACATACCCCGCGCGCCCCCTAGGCGCGGGGACCTCGTAGGAGGTTCGGCCCTCGTTCAGGAAAAAAAAAAAAAAAAAAGGGGTGGCCAACTGGTAGATCGCGATCGACCTGTTGATCGAACACAAAATATATGGATTGTGGAACTCAGTGTTATTGGCATGTAAAACTGAATATCCCCATAGGTAGCAACACTCATGTTGTGCTATCTACGAGCCCCGTGACTCCTTTACATTGAAAGCTCCATGACTTAAGTTAAGTTCGAGTGATTGCTGTAAATGCTTAGAGACTGGCATTGATTTAATAATTTTACCAATTACATACCGTTCCACTCAACAATAGTCCGATAGCTCTTTGCACGCGAATGTAAAAATCATCAATCCTTTTCAGCATGGCTTCGCATTCCAAACATATTTCAATCATTTCCAAGTCGAATAAGCCCTGAAAACAATTTTGTTCATACAAAAAAGATTTTAAGAAATAGGCAATCTTTCTATCCATTGTGTTCAAAACTGACAGTTGCATCAGCAAGTAATAAGTAAATATTTTATAAGTAATTTATTCTATTCAAATGAGATATTATGTTTTTATGTGTTTTGTTCAGATTCAATGGTAGATTCTAGGAAGCACTGCCCATGAGCTCACCTATCCGTCCAAGAGTAGCTAGAATAGCCCTTTAGACTACCAGCAAACAGGTACGAATAAAAAATGTATGTTACAAAAAGTCAAACTTTACTATAACATAATAATGAAGACAGTGGCTTTGTCTTTTTATATTTTTTTTATATAGACAGTAGAAAACTGTAGATAGTGTAGAACAAAGAATTTGACGAAAAAAATATTCAAAAAAATAGTTTCAAACTAAACAGTTTTTTTATTGCCCTTGTAGACACACGGCTCACCTGATGGTGAGTGGTTACCGTCACCCAAGGACTTCAGCAATGCCAGGGGCAGAGCCGAGCCGAACATAATCAACTAACTATTCTTCTGCCAACCCTCAAAATTCTGTTTTATCCAAGGAACCATACCTATTATTCGTAGTCAAACATAAGTTGGCAGCATTTCAAAAGATGTAAATTTGTGTTTTTATAAATATTGTTTTGTTCTTAGATGGGTGGACGTGCTTCTCTAACATTAAGTGGTTATCTGAGCCCATAGCAATCAAAAAAGTAAAGTAAAATGCAGAGTAAATAATAATACTTACTTCGCAATCCGAAAATAATTTTCGAAAAATAGCAGATAATTGCCCTAATGGTTTCAACTTCTGTTCCCCATTCAAACAAGTGCGGCATAGAAGAACCTCATTGTTTATTTCACTTTTTACTTCAAATTCCATATTGTAACCGAAAATATAAATTATTTTTGGTTAAAAGTTGTATTTTGTGCTGTTTATAGATTTAAATATTTCCGTAAATCGTAAAAATTACATTTTAAATTGATTTTTATGTACGGTACTGTTTTAATCTTATATCCAGCCTATTTTCTCAAAAGAGGAGATCAAAACAATAGTAAATACAAGTTTCTAAACGAGTAAACGAATTGAAACATGTCAAAAAATAACAACATAACAAACAAAATCACAACAAAATAATAAACAGCTGTTCTACTAGTAGTAGTAGTTTTCTTTTTCCAGCTGGAAAGGCAAAAGTATCATACCATACAGTCTAACCTTTTGTATATTTTTTATATATGAAAAATGATATTATGAAATGAAGTTGGTTAATTAATGTGAAACATGACATGAAATGAAAACGAAATGGAATGAAATAAAAAGAGATGAGATGATATGGGATGAAATATAATCTCTGTAAAATGGTGGTTATTCACTGAGAGTTTTTATCAGTGGACTTTTTGGAGGATCCAACGGCTTTGTTTTATTTTCCCACATTTGTGCACTTTCAGAGATATTAAATAGTTAATAAACCACCGTTATTAGACGTTTAAACCTGAAGAAATAGACAAAATAAAACAAATCACACAACTCTTCACTCCTCGCGTTCCCGCCAAAAAGTCACCTAGACAGTAAAGCCATGTTCAAAATGGAACCGGTACAAATGTAACCTAATAATTGAAAGTGCCGAGGCCCGTGCAGTGTACCGGCTCCTTAACGCCGTGCACAATAGATGAAACAAACTCTGCTCTCAATTAAAACAAATGGTAGAGCACTCATCAAGAAGTCGACTGGTAACGAAGCTTGTACGAGACTTGTTGGCGAGTAAGCGAGGCGTGAAAATCTGTGATTTGTTTGTTGTTAATTTAGTGTTCAGCTACAGACTTAAACGTGTAATGATGGTGGCTTATTGACCGATTAGCGTTTGTGAGAAAATAAAATATTGCCTCTGGGTGCGGCTCATCGGCTTCTTCCAAAAAGTCCACCGAAAAAGTCTCGGTAAGTAACAACCATTATTGCTAAGACTTTCATCCCATCTCATCTCTTATTTAATTTCATATTAATTAATTAATGTCTCAAATTAATCAACTTCATTTAATTACGCTCTATACATTTTTCATAAAAAAAATATTCAAAATTAAGCTCTATGGTATGACACCTTCGTCTTTCCAGTTGGAAAAATAGAACTACTAGTTATTACAGTTAATTGTCATAATCAAAAGGTTTGAAAAACTATGTTCAAAAACCACTGAAGTATGTATCTAATAAAAAAACCTAAGATATGGATAGATAATAAAAAAACAAGTTAAATGCTAAACAAACGCAAAAATGGACTTGATTGATCTAAATTATTGTATGACAAACGACGAAGTTCATAAGCCCAAAGCAAATGCTTGTTTTTGTTGTTTAAATGACAGTAAAACCTTGATTCGATTTCAGTTTTGTAAACACCGGATATTCCTTGAAAATCATTTTAAAGAAAAGGTAACTTTTCTAGTTCAATAAAAAACCTCTAAAAACCAGTAATTTATCGCAATTAGAACTACTTTTGCGGCGTAATCTCGGGTTATTTACTTTAGTGGTTTGTGACCGCGGAAACTGAAATAATCGAAAAGTCGGAATATATTATCAATAATAAACGGTTTTTTTTTTTAATTTTCTTTATGGCTTTTGTTACTTAGATTAAAGTACAATTTTGCCAACGTCGGGTAGTGGAGGTATCAACATAATTATGCTAGGACATTTACATAACATTTACAGGCATGAACTGAAAATAGAGTTACCTGTTTAGTTTTACAATTTTTGTATTTAACAGTCAGTAGGAACTACAATTTTATATTATTAGTGTCTATGAAAGATGCAAGCGAGTAGACTACTTTTTTACTGGGGAAAGTTGATAGGAAGTTCATGTTGATGGGGAAGGGGATTATGTTTTTTAATAAAGTATATAGGGAATCACAATTATTGTTAAGAATGCAGTTGAAGAATATATGATCCACAGTACCTTCCTCGGATCCACAGTCGCATATTGCTGTATTTCTTACTTTGAATTTGAACAGTTGGACAGGTGAACAAACGTGACCCAGTCACATTCTGATAAGAATGCTAGTGGTACTTTTGTTAAGATTTCTGTACTTAAAAAACCACGGGGAATGGGGTATTGTTGGTTGGATTATAGAATACTTATACTTAAAAGATTCCCATTCTATGCTCCAGTCACGAAATAAAGTTTTCTTAGCAATACTTAATATATCGGTCATTGTATTATAAAAAAAAATTCTATCACCATGCAATGTAGCCTTTTTTCCAAATCATCTGCATACTCATTTCCTTTAATGCCGACATGAGCAGGAACCCCGTTAGATTAAAATGTATAAATAGTTTTAATTATGCCTACTACTCGCGAAGATCAAAAATAATATCTTAGTATTTTTTACTGTTGTGAATAGTAAAAAGGTCCTAAGACGCTATTGTTTTTATTCCAGTTGAACATACAAAACCTATTTGTGTGTGTCAAATGCCACAGTTTCATGAAAAAGATCAATCTGTTCTTGAGGCAAGTGGAACAGAACTATTCCGCGCTCAAGGCAGAGGTACGTAATAGAGTTTCTAACATGGTATTTTATTTATTTTATTTTGCGACGTTGCACAGAGAGATTCCGTAATCCTGCCTACTCCTACTACGAAGAATTCGTCCGTTCCAGTTAGAAAGTTTACTTCATTCATTTAAGACTTCTGTGCTGGTGGCGGCATGTACATGAGCTTTGATAAACACTAAACATTGTAAGCTGGCCTTGCGAATATGTGGGATTTGATGTCTGTCACTTAAGTACTGGCTCTTTTGCTTCTATTTTTCGTTATCTTTATTTGGATATGTTGAATATGGTAACTAAATAGTGTTTTACAAAAATGTACAACATTTTTTAGTTTTTCTTCACATACAAATTGATTGTGAACAAGCGAACCATGTCAGAGCTCAGGTTTTAAGTGGTTGATAACGTGTCGGCACTTAATGTTTAAAGGGCACCAGCACACAATGTGATAATACATATATACCATGATTCAGCCATGCATCTAACCAATGAATAAAAAGTTTGACAAGTGTTCAAATGTTTCTATTAAAGTTCAGGTTTCGTTTTTTGTTTATTGCTTAGATGGGTGGACGAGCTCACAGCCCACCTGGTGTTAAGTGGTTACCGGAGGCCATAGACATCTACAACATAAATACGCCACCCAACTTGAGATATAAGGTAGGTCTCAGTATAGTTACAACAGCTGCACCACCCTTTAAACTGAAACGCATTACTGCTTCACAGCAGAAATAGGTTGGGTGGTGGTACCTACCCGTGCGGACTCACAAGATATCCTACCACCACTAAAACTGTATTTACTGCGCTCATTAGGTGATACTACTATTTGCAGATTCCATATAATAATGCAAACATAACTACAAATCTCATACGAAGTAATATTGAAGTAATATCAAACTTAAATGATGTCAAAGAAATCAAAATTGAACCTTTCACTCCACAATTTGAAGATGACATTGAGATTGAAGTTAAGCTTGAAGAAGCACCCAATATTAGTAAGTCAACAGTACGGAGTCTTCCAGAACCTCTACAGGTAAATGACAGTAACATTAATGAATAAAATACAATTTATTCCTGTATTGATTTCTAGAAATTTTGTTATAGCTCTTGCAACTAAGCTTGGTGTTCATTCTTATTTACATAATTTATGGTTAGTGTTCACTGTCATTCTTGGACGCTGGCAATCAGTGCCAACTCTGTTGCTGTTACTACTTATATATAAATAAGATAAAACAGAAAATATTTACATTTTAAGTAAGCAGGAACAATTAGATTATATGTCTACTCAAGTGCTTCTGTGAGATTTCACTGCAAGCAACTTTCTTACCATCTAAGATGTTCACCAAACAATTTTTAATCGAGAATGAGAAGCGGTGTGTGTGTCTTGTGAGCCTGAACTAGGTCAACACCACCCTCTGTCGCGAAGTAGTGCTGGCAGGCGATGCTCGACTTCTGCGAGTCCACCATCTCAAAGAAGCAGGCTGCGGAACGGGAGAGAAAGAGAGCTCTTCTCCCCTCTCGGCGGCCGCCGCCGAGCTGGGGGTTCTAGGAGGGTTTTGGTCCAGCTCCAGCCCCTGTGAGGAGGCAGTGTCCTCCCGGTGATGGTCACGTGCCGACCTAAGGGGGTCGAGGCTGCGCCGCACGCTAGCGTCACTAACGAGCTGGCACCAGGAAGATGGGACGACGCGTCGACGGCGGCTGCCCGCGATTTGGTCCGTGTTGCCGTCGTCACTGTCTTTGCCGAACATACTGTAGAAGAGCAAGCCGGTCGGCAGTGTATCGCGTTCCGATCCGGCAGGCTGGTTCTTACCCAGCGAGATATCTCGGAACACCACTGGCATAGCCCCCGCGGAAATTGCCTTCATTGGTATTTGACGATTGCCTCGACGACCGGCCGGTCGGGTGCCCTCGGCGTGGCGCCGTCTGATTGTAGTGCTGACCGCGGGCACCCCCCCTTCTATGACCGGCTTCTGAACCAGGGCGGAGATCGGATGTCGGGTGTGTGAGTGCAGGGGAGTCGTTTAGTGCCTTAGGGTCCCAAAATACCCTTGAGTCCGCAGTCTGCTCCCAACATCTGCAGATCATCAAGTCCAACATACTCCGAGTGGCCTCAAGGCGCGGGGAAAAAGCCAAGCCAAGCATCTAAGCAATAAATAGAAAGTTTGACAAGTATTCAAATGTTGCTATTGTATGAATGTTTTACTTCAACGTGAAATGTATTTACTGACCTAATGATAGATGATACTACTATTTGCAGACTCCACATAACAATGTTAACATGTCTACAATATTGAATAACTATAATTTTAAAGTAATATCGACCTCAAATGATGTAAAAGAAATCAAAATTGAACCTATCACTGCTCGATATGAAGATGATGAAGATGAAAATGATATTGAAGTTAAGTTGGAAGAAAAACACAATATTAGTAACGCAACAGTACAGAGTATTCAGGAACCTTTACAGGTAAATGTTAATAACAGTAATGAATAAAATATTATTTATTACTATGTATATAAATTTTGTTATATTTTTTGCAACTAAGCTTGCTGTTCATTCTTATTTACTTAGCGGTAAGTGTTTACTGTCATTCTTGGTTACTGGCAATCGGTGGCACCTCTGTTGCTGTTACTACTTGTATGTGTCAATTAATAACATAAAACAATGAAAAAATATTTATATATTAAATAAGTTAGTATCAAGTAACTTTCTTACCGTCTGAGGTGTTCACTTGACAGTTTTTAATAGAGGAAGATACGAAAAGATACGAATCTTACTGGTGGTAGGATCTCTTGTGAGTCCGTGCGGGTAGGTACCACCACCCTGCCTATTTATACCGTGAAGCAGTAATGCATTTCGATTTGAAGGGCGGGGCAGCCGTTGTAACTATACTGAGACCTTAGAACTTATATCTCAAGGTGGGTTGCGTATTTCTGTTGTAGATGTCTATGGGCTCCAGTAACCACTTAACACCAGATGGGCTGTGAGCTCGTCCATTCATTTAAGCAAAAAAAAAAAAAACTCAAGCTATGTCATATTTTGATGCAGAACACACAAGAATATGTACGATTAGATTGGCATTCAGAGTATACCGTGGAAAATAGTGACCAACTATTATTTAAGAAAATGCAAATATACAAAAAAACACAGAGTTCATTCTACTCTATTCCAATTACGAAGTGCCTTTTGAAACTTCTTAGAATGTAACTCTTCACGTTTCGTATAACTTGAAATAATAATCATTTTTTGTTTATGGTCTTAAACATATATATATTTTTTTATTGCTTAGATGGGTGGACGAGCTCACAGCCCACCTAATATTGGAGCCCATAGACATCTATAACGTAAATGCGCCAGCCACCTTGAGATATATGTTCTGAGGTCTCAGTATAGTTACAACGGCTGCCCCACCCTTCAAACCGAAACGCATTACTGCTTCACGGCAGAAATAGGCGGGGCGGTGGTACCTACCCGTGCGGACTCACAAGAGGTCCTACAACCAGTAATATTAAAAAAATACAGAGTCAATCTAAATCATTATACAATTAATTCACACACACAATAACTTTATAAATAACATCTGTTAAACGGGGCCTCGTAATTGGAATAGAGTATAAAGCTAGTCCATCATTAGGCCTGATAAAAATATTGTTAAACTCAACATCTCTTGCAAATAGTAAATTCCTACAAATCTCTCCCATACGAGGGATTGCTTACTATTATTAATGTGTGGCATTTTGGAATGATTCTCTTCAGAAGAGATTTGAGAAGATATGACAACATTTGCTTGCTATGCAAACGTCATCTCAAACTGTTATATAACAACAGTCACTCCCAGCATCCCTTAGGGCTACCTAGAACCAGTAACCAATACTTAACCACTATTTCCTATTTCAATCCCGTTGCGTTGAAAGAATTAATTGTTCTAATAAAAATACATACTGAACTCATGTCACAAATAACTCCATAATGAAGCAATAACATTGTATGACAAAAAAATCTCGTCATTACGGATCCTCCCGATTAACGGTGCTTTTAGGTACCTCAAGCACCGGTCACCGTCCTCGTCGAACCCGACCCACCCACCGGACCACCCACTCTTGTCGTTCACGGCTCGACGGTTCATCTTCTGTGAGTTTTTTTTTTTTAATTATTACCTCTTTTTCTGATAAAGGAGCAAGCAGCCAGCACCTTTGTTCATATGCTAAGACTTTTATTTTGTACTTCTTTCATGAAAATCTCTTTGTATAACATCACAGCTCACAGTAGTGACTATTCTTGCAGTAAGCTCTTGAATTCTTCTTCTTCTGTTTGATTTTGGCTCGCGCGGCTTGCGCATTTGCCACAGAGCAAAATAAAAGGTTGGGAAACTACGTAATAAAAAAAAACGTGATCGGATTCGCAAGGGAAAGATTAGGAAAATTAGAGAATATATGAAAATACATATATAAATAAGATTAAGTTAAATATGTACATCATTAGATAATATAAATAAAGACAATAAACTGTATACATTAGGAGAATTCATAGATAAAAGACACATAATGGACGTAGGAAAAGGAATACGTAATGTAATGAAATCAAATTTAAATAGAAAGAAGAGCAATCATTTAGAGAGCAAGAAAAGAAAATGTGATTAACGTCACAGACTTCAGCACCGCAATCACAGGCTGGACTATAAACAATTTTGAATTTAAAAAGATGGGCTGAAGTGGAAACATGTCCCAATCGCATGCGAATGAGACATGTTGTTACATGCTTAGCGAAATGAATTTTGAAAAACCACGGCTTTGAAGGTATTGTAATTCAGTAAGACTTTTTGGAGGTGTCCTCATTTTTTGTGGTGGTAGGACCTCTTGTGAGTCCGTGTGGGTAGGTACCACCACCCTGCCTATTTATGCCGTGAAGCAGTAATGCATTTTGATTTGAAGGGTGGGGCAGCCGTACAATGTCTACAACAACTATACTTGACAACAACTTATACCTCAAGGTGGGTGGCGCATTTACGTCATAAATGTCTATGGGCTCCAGTAACCACTTAACACCAGGTGGGCTGTATATATTTAATCTAATGAAATAAGTTTCATTTCTTTAGTTTATATTATACTTTTACCCAGGTTAGAGCTCCGTGAGCTCACCAACTCGCTCGGTTACCCCTCTCAAGGTTACTAGCTTTGGTAGGAAAAAAAAACTTTTTTTTTTTTTTTTAGAGCCAATCATGATAGTAAAAGAGAGCGTCAAAAACGATACAGAGAGCAGAACAGAGACAAATTGAAAAATCGTGAAGCGGAAAGAAGAAAACGTATACAACATACACAAAGTATTGCCGGACTATCTGCGTCATCAAACACAATAAATAATGAAGAAATTGTAACTGCTCAAAGTTTATCGGGTTGGGAAGAAACTCGACCGTCATCAATTCAAATAAACGAGAGAGACAAAGAAATGAATGCTCTCCAGAAAAAAAGGGAACGTCAACGAAGGTACAGACAGCAGAACAGAGATAGACTGAAGCAGCGCGAAGCAGAAAGAAGAAGGAGAAGTCTACAAAATGCAGAAATGATTACAGAATTATCTACGTAGATACCCGTATAGCTGCTGGTCGGTTATGTCGTGTTGAATCGTGTTGTGTATATGGGAGCGGCGGAGCGCAGAGCGACGTGCGTTCGTCTCGGTGTTGTTGCCTCGACTGGCGAGTGGTGACCGGTTTCGGTCAACGCAGCATTTACCGTACATTCGTTTGAGTGGCGTTGGGTGGACGAGCTCACAGCCCACCTGGTGTTAAGTGGTTACTGGAGACAACGGACATCTACAACGTAAATGCGCCACCCACCTTGAGATATAAGTTCTAAGATCTCAGTATAGTTACAACGGCTGCCCCACCCTTCAAACCGAAACGCATTACTGCTTCACGGCAGAAGTAGGCAGGGCGGTGGTACCTACCCGCGCGGACTCGCAAGAGGTCCTACCACCAGTAGATGTACAGGGCTGCACTAAGGAGACGCTGCCATTCCGGGATTCTGCGATTCTGTTTCAAATAGGGCAGCACGCCATACCGGACAATGAGAAGATCTTCCACCAAGCGGGTGTAATTGCTCGGTAGACCGACTGTCCAAATGTTATTGTTCGGAACTTGTATAAATATGCAAGCTTATCTTGGAAATTTCGTAGGCATCATAGGCGAGATTCAGGCATCTGCCTAATATCTTCTGTTCTGTGATGGCTACCGCCACGCCTACTTCTCCGAATACACAGAATTTATAGATGTAATGAATGTAATACCGTCAGAAGAAACATAGAATTAATATAACTATTACCGAAGTCATTGATTAAAAGTAAAATTGATAAATGGTTTATTATTATACGTTACTTTACCTTTTCTAAACTTTACATCGTCCCATACTGTTATGTTTCAATTATGAAGGGTAGAATTAAAGACGGCCGTCTCTGTGTATTAAAAATTGTCTGCTGAAAGGGAAGCCAATTAAGGTGGCGCCACAGTAGCAAGTGGAAAAATTTGAAAAACAGCGTGTCATAAACTGCTAGAATTGGATACTAAATTAAGAAGGAAAGAAACACTTCCTACATAAATAGTAATGTAAATAAATAGTTGAGAATTTATAAAATATTGCATATTTTTAAACTACACGAGTCAGGACAAATATTAAATTTTTAAACCCTTCAGCCTTTACTCAGTTTAAAACTGCTGTATTCACATCATTTTCACATCCAACACTAGAGGTATTTCGGTGAGTCTTCCAACAACAACTCGCTGTTTAGTTTTACAGGTGGACATTTTTTCAAATTGGCCTTTTCTTATCAAGTAGGTACTCCTTACTTCTACCCTCCAAAGCAGGGGTGAGGCGTTTTTATCGAAACAGTCAAAGGGAACAGGTGCGTCTATGAAGAAACTTGGAACTCTTGTCTATAGACCGAAACAACTGTTCCATAAATTCCATAATATGTTGCGTTGTTCCGTTCCACAGCAAACAGCCAGAAACGAAACAGTTTGGAACAAGCTCTTTTCTCCTTTCACTTATTGTAATAGAATAAGATAGCAATAACATTAACATGCATGCACATTTTAGCAAAACTAGTTTCACATATTATACTAATAAAAAAACCCATCAAAAACGTCTTTGGCTCTTGTAGCGCTCGTGTGCGATCATTACCCTAGTGCCTAGTAAAGGTATGTTCAAAATGGAACCGTACAAATGTAAATTAATAATTAAAGTGCCGAGGCCAGCTCTCCCTAACGCCGTGCACAATAAATGAAACAAACTCTGCACTCAATTAAAGAAATTGTAGAGCACTCATCAAGAAGTCGACTGGTAAGGAAGTTTGTACGAGACTTGTTGGCGAGAAAGCGAGGCGTGAAAATCTGTGATTTGTTGTTAATTTAATGTTCAGCTACAGATTTTAACGTGTAATGATGGTGGCTTATTGACCATTTAGCGTTTGTGAGAAAATAAAATATTGCCTCTGGGTGCGGCTCATCGAGTTCTTCCAAAAAGTCCACCGAAAAAGTCTCGGTAAATAACAACCATTTTTGCTAAGACTTTCATCCCATCTCATCTCCTCTCATTTAATTACGCTCTATACAAATTTTCATAAAAAATATATTCAATATTAAGCTTTATGGTATGACACTTTCGTCTTTCCAGTTGGAAAAATGGAACTACTAGATAATACAGTTAATTGTCAAACTCAAATGGTTTGAAAAAACTAGGTTTCATGGGTTTCATACCTACTTCAGTGGAAAAAACTATGTGTACAAACAAATTGCCTACATGCTGAGCAACAAGCAAGTCAAAGATGGACTTGATAGATCTAAATTATTGTATGACAGACGACGAAGCTCTTAAGCCCAAAGCAAAAGTTTGTTTTTGTTGCTTAAATGACAGTAAAACCTTGATTCGATTTCGGTTTTGTAAACACCGGATATTCCTTGAAAATCATTTTAAAGAAAAGGTAACTTTTCTAGATCAATAAAAAACCTCTAAAAACAGTAATTTATCACAATCAGAACTACTTTTACGGCGTAATCTCGGGTTATTTATTTACTTTAGTGCTTTGTGACCACGGAAACTGAAATAATCGAAAGTCTGAATATATTATATATTGATAATAATAAACGTTAGATTAAATCGTATAAATAGTTTTAATTATGCCCACAACTCGCGAAGATCAAAAATAATATCGTAGTATATTTTACTGTTGTGAATAGTAAAAAGGTCTTAAGACGCTATTGTTTTTATTCCAGTTGAACATACAAAACCTATTTGTGTGTGTCAAATGCCACAGTTTCATGAAAAAGATCAATCTGTTCTTGAGGCAAGTGGAACAGAGCTATTCCACGCTCAAGGCAGAGGTACGTAAAAGAGTTTCTAACATAGTATTTTATTTATTTTATTTTGCGACGTTGCACAGAGAGATTCCGTAATCCTGCCTATTCCTACTGCAAAGAATTCGTCCAGTTAGAAAGTTGACTTCATTCATTTAAGACTGCTGTGTTGGTGGCGGCATGTACATGAGCTCTGATAAACGCTTAGCATATTGTAAGCTGGATCTACGAAAATCCAAGATATGAAGTCTGTCACTTGAGTGCTGGCTCTTTCGTGTCTATTTTTCGTTATCTTTATTTGGATATCTTGAATATGGTAAAGAAATAGTGTTTAAATGCCACTAGCATACAGTGTGATAACACAATGTAGACCATAATTCAGCCATGCATCAAACCAATAAATAAAAAGTTTGACAAGTGTTCAAATGTTTTTATTAAAGGAATCTTCGTGTTTTTATTTTTTATTACTTATGGGTGGACGAGCTCGCAGGCCACCTGGTGCTAAGTGGTTACCGGAGCCCATAGACATCTACAACGTAAATGCACCACCCACCTTGAGATATAAGATAGATCTCAGTATAGTTACAACAGCTGCCCCATGACTGCTTCACAGCAGAAATGGGCTGGGTGGTGGTACCTACCCGTGCGGACTCACAAGATATCCTACCACCAGTAAAAGTGTATTTACTGCACTCATATTAGGTAATACTACTATTTACAGATTCCATATAATAATGCAAACATAACCACAAATCTCATACGAAGTAATATTGAAGTAATATCAAACTTAAATGATGTCAAAGAAATCAAAATTGAACCTTTCACTCCACAATTTGAAGATGACATTGAAATTGAAGTTAAGCTTGAAGAAGCACCCAATATTAGTAAATCAACAGTACGGAGTCTTCAAGAACCTCTACAGGTAAATGACAGTAACATTAATGAATAAAATACAATTTATTCCTGTATTGATTTCTAGAAATTTTGTTATAGCTCTTGCAACTAAGCTTGGTGTTCATTTTTATTTACACATGTAAGGGTTAGTGTTCACTGTCAGTCTTGGATGCTGGCAATCAGTGGCAACTGTTGCTGTTACTTCTTATATGTATAAATAAATAAGATAAAACAGAAAATATTTACCTATTAAGTAAGCAGGAACAATTAAATTACGTGCCTACTCAAGTTATTCTGGGAGATTTTACTGCAAGGAACTTTCTTACCCTCTGAGATGTTCACCAGACAATTTTTAATCGAGAATGAGAAGTAGGATGGGTGTCTTGTGACACCACCCTATGTTACGAAGTAGTCTTGGCAGGCGATGTTTGACTTCTGGGAGTTCACCATCTTATAGAAGCAGGCTGCAGAACGGGAGAGAGAGAACTCTTCTCCTCTCTCAGCGGCCGCCGCTGGGAGCTGGGAGTTTTAGGAGGGTTTTGGTTCAACTCCAGCCTCTGTGAGGAGGCAGTCTCCTCCCGGTGATGGTCACGTGGCGACCTAAGGGGGTCGAGGCTGCGCCGCACGCTAGCGTCACTCTAACGAGCTGGCACCAGGAAGATGGGACGACGCGCTGGCGGCGGCAGCCCGCGATTCGGTCCGTGTTGCCGTCGTCACTGTCTTTGCCGAACATACTGTAGAAGAGCAAGCCGGTCGGTAGTGTATCGCGTTCTGATCCGGCAGGCTGGTTCTTACCCAGCGAGATATCCCGGAACACTACTGGCATCGCCTCCGCGGAAATTGCCTTCATTGGTATTTGACGATTGCCTCGACGACCGGTCGGTCGGGTATCCTCGGAGTGGCGCCACGAGTCTGGTTGTAGTGTTGACTGCGGGAAATCGGGATGTGAGTGCAATGGAGTCGTTTAGGTCGTTAGGGTCCTAAAAATATCCTTGAGTCTGCAGTCTGCTCCCAACATTTGCAGATCGTCAAGTCCAACATACTCCGAGTGCCCTAGGCGAAGGGACCTCGTAAGAGGCTCGGTCCCGGCCGGAAAAAAAAAGGGTGGACCATGAACTCAGTCATCCATCTAAGCAATAAATAGAAAGTTTGACAAGTATTCAAATGTTGCTATTGTATGAACGTTTACTTCAATGTGAAATGTATTTACTGCCCTAATGATAGATGGTTCTACTATTTTTTCTTTTTTTAATGGCAATCTTCCGATACTTTCATCAATTTCTGCCAGTGTCGTGTTATGGCTACACATGGAACTTTGTCGAGCTATTTAAACACACTTTATATTATGAAAAGTATCCAATTTTGGCAATAATAATGGTACTACTATTTGCAGACTCCACATAACAATGTTAACATGTCTACAATATTGAATAACTATAATTTTAAAGTAATATCGACCTCAAATGATGTAAAAGAAATCAAAATTGAACCTATCACTGCTCGATTTGAAGCTGAAAATGAAATTGAAGTTAAGTTTGAAGAAGAACACAATATTAGTAAGGCAATGGTACGGAGGCTTCAAGAACCTTTACAGGTAAATAAATTATAATAACAGTAATGAATAAAATATTATTTATTACTATATAATTTTTTATAAATATTGTTTTTATTTCTTGCAACTAAGCTTGCTGTTCATTCTTATTTATTTAGTGGTAAGTGTTTACTGTCATTCTTGGATACTGGCAGTTAGTGGCATCTCTGTTGCTGTTACTACTTATATGTATAAACTAGCGACCCGCCCTCGCTTCGCTTCGGAAACATTAGATTTTATTATTACTAGCTGAGTCTCGCGATGTTATCCGCGGTTATTGTCATACCACAAGTGACGCCGCGGGGCGAAGCTAGTGTAAAAAAAGTAGCCTAAAGTTACTCATATCATCAGCTACCTATCAGTGAAAGTCTCGTCAAAATCGGTCCAGCCGTTCCAGAGATTAGCTGGAACAAACAGACAGACCGACAAAAATTGTAAAAAATATTATTTTGGTGTATGTACCGTATATATATTCTAATGTAGTAAAAAGCGGTCATATTACAAACAGACACTCCAATTTTATTTATATGGATAGATGAATAACATAAAACAAGAAAAAATATTTACATATTGAATAAGTTACTGTTACTACTTATATGTATAAACTAGCCCTCGCTTCGCTTCGGAAACATTAGATTTTATTATTAATAGCTGAGTCTCGCGATGTTACCCGCGGTTATTGTCGTACCGCAAGTGACGCCGCGGGGCGAAGCTAGTATAAAAAAAGTAGCCTAAAGTAACTTCCTTTCTTACTGTCTGAGATGTTCACTTGACAATTTTTAATAAAAATCCCCAAAAATTACTTCTCTCAAGCGAAATCTTAGTTTAATACTGAACACACAAGAATATGTACATGTAGATTGGCAACCAGAGGAATATGCTGTGGAAAATTGTTACCAACTATTATTTATGACAACTTAAATAGACTAAAAACAGAGTTTAATATTAATGTGACTTGTAATCAGGGACGTCTTAAATTAGGCTGGGGCCCTTGGGCACACAAGAATTGGAAAGTAAAAAAAGCGAATTATAATAACATTTTTTTACTGAGTATGACCATTTATTATAGGTAATCAAATACAGTATGATATAATATGTCATTAATGATATTAGAATGCTGCTGGTTTTTTGGTTACGATCACGACAGCGGAAACCGAATAAATGTGTGAGAGAAATTGTCGGTCTTTAGGGGCCCCCCTGAGAATGGGGGCCCTGGGCACGGGCCCCGTGTGCCCTTATGGTAAAGACGGTATTGCTTGTAATGTAAATGTAATAGAACTGTGTAAAGTGTGGCATTTTGGAATTATTCTCTTCAGAAGTGATATGAGAAGATATGACAAAATTTGCTTACTATGCAAACTTCATCTCAAGCATTCATCCTCGAGGCTAACTAGAGCCAGTAACCAATACTTATTCACTATTTCCAGATAAAAATTACCTTAACTCTACAGTTTTTGATAATTAGATATAGACATAATGCATACTTTATAAAAGCTGCTAACAGTTTCAATGCTCTAGTTTACTGCCCTAAACTGGACATTTTCAACACTTCTACTAAGAGAATTGAGACAACATTAATCAGTCGATGGTTGAACGCAAATTTTTATTATGAATATTATGAAGGAATAACATCGTGTAATAAAAATCAAACCCGCAAAATTATAATTTGCGTATAGATAAACCGGTCAACTTAAAATCAAATTTTAAGTTGACCGGTTATAGCTATACCATTGAGATACCACCCAGGTCTTGAGGTGGATGAACAGGATTAATATAGTTAAGTATATACGCTCCCATTATTCGCATAACCTGGACTAACACAAATTTCCAGGCTGATCATCCTGAAGAATTAAAAACATGTGACGGCATTGAGGATTGCTTTGGAGCCATACTGAAGACAACAGACCTGTCGCGGACCGAGCTTGAAGCCAAGAAAGATCTAGAAAAAACACACAGCAAATACACAGCAAAGCTGTACAAATGTGAAAAATGCTTAGTTTCCTACGATAATGAATTGCATTTGAGAAAGCATTTGCTTTTGAGGCATAATGAGGTGAGACGGTAGGGGAAGATGGTGTGAGGTCAGAGGAACACTGATCATGTTTTGTTTATTGCTTAGAGGAGTAAAAGCGCTCCCAGGCATGTAGTTACTAGAGCCCATAGACCTCAACAACATAAATGTCACTGCAAAACTTGAGACATGAATTCTGAATCTCCAGGCTATAGTACAAAGGCTGCTCTGTCCTTCAAATCGGATTGCTTTGGGATAGAGGGCGATGCTGACCTAGGGTAGACTTACAAGACACCCCTGTTGGACTCAATGATTGACATTCCCTGGATATGTCTTGGGCAAAGAAAAAAATGTACGGACAGATGAGTTTTTGTTTTTAGAAAAATCGTTACAAGTGCGACGTCTGTGACTGTACTTACGACACGGAACTCAAATTGGAGACGCACGCCAGGAGGCATTACCTTAGGTGAGCTTTGTTTCTTGAAAATCCCTTTTACATCTAGACTTTCAGATAATGAAACCTTGGTGGCGGTACAGCCATAGGCCACATTCCGGTATAAAAACCCCGCCTATTTCTGCTGCGTAACAGTATTATGGTCGTACGATAATGATAATGCCCAAACATGATAATTCTGAAACGATAGATTGCTCAGTAGCGGAACTATTCGAACTGCTAGCTCTGACGTCACGCGAGAAGAGAGATAAATGTGTCACAAGTTAACACTTGGGCCTCTCTATCGCTCGTTCCGCGTTCTCAGGCTCGGGTGGAACGTGACACTTTTTCGTGCGTGCAGCCGGTGTTCATCGTTTTAGAAGACGTTGTTACGTCAAAAAAAATAAATAAAATAAATTATTAATATTAATTTGAAACAATAAATTATTAATATTAATTTGAAACAATTAGTACTTTCTCTTAGTTAAAATAAATTTAAAAATAAATTATTCACTATTTCTGTTTCAAGAACTGCTTACAACCACACCATAGCAGACCGATCTGACGAACCTATGGACTACACGGATCCGCCGCTACCTTCAAAGAGTAATATACTCACGGAAGCGCAAGACGCTGTCGCATTCACGTCATTCGACGAGCCATCAACCATAGCTGCTCCAAAATCGAAGGCACAGAAACAACGCGAGTACAGACAGCGCATAGCAGCATCCAGAACATCCGCACAGGCGATAGCCGCTAAGAAGTCGGATGCCGAAAGACAACGCAACCGAAGACTACGCAAAGCCGCCAAATTGGCCCTTATCAGTGGGTCATTAGAATCGAATACTGCACCCATTTCTCGTTCAGGGGCGAAATCAAATGACCTTCAAACTGGTACTAAACGAGAGCCCACACACAAGCATAGTCGTACTTCAGCATCAGAACCAGGTCCAATCACTTCTGATCAAATTGTGATAGAACAGACACAATCTACTTGGAAGACTAAATGGGCATTCTCGATCGTGAGGTTCAAATCAACTTTCCTGGACAACGATTTCGGTCACGCTTGTTCGATTTGCGACAGGCTTTGGTTCAAAAACGACCTGAAACCCATCACCGAGCCACAGCTGGAGGTGATCTCGGAATGGTTCGTCAAAGAAAATCGAAGACCGCGCCGAGAAGAATATGAAATGGTTTGCAATACTTGTAAACGTTCACTGAACAAAAAATCGATGCCGCCCCTAGCAAAAGTCAATGGATTCTCATATCCAGACGAACCGCCAGCTCTACCACCCTTGGATCCCATCAGCGAGCGACTGATATCGCCGCTTCTGCCATTTATGCAAGTTCGTCGTCTGCGCCACGATGCCTCTTATGGAATCGTAGGGCAAGTGATCAACTTACCAACAGACGTACAGCAGATGGTGAAATGTTTGCCGCGCCAATTAAACGAAGACCACGTCATCAATGTTAACATCGAGCGAAATCTTGCCCACAAATCGGAGTACATCAGCGGATATGTGTCCAAAAGTACAATCAGTTCATGGCTAACTGCACTGCAGGAGTCCACATTATATCGTCTGTACGAAATCAACGTGGATTTATCGAGGCTGCATTCTACTGTGCCGTCTCTCGATGACATAAAGGATGATCCTTCGAACCGTATAGAAAATATTTCCGCTGAAAACGCACCGGATTCTGAAATATTCGCTGCAAGACAACATACCGTGATGTGGAATGAAGAAGATTGTCCGAAAATCACACCGGGACATCAGGCGACACCACTCAACATCATTTATGACCGTCACATTGAAGAGTTATCGTTTCCATCGATCTACTTCGGAGAGCCCCGTAGTTTTCACGTGGGAGTTCCAGTAACACCTTACATGGTGGTGACCAGTGAGATACGTCGTCGCGACCGACGCGGAGCAACTCCTCAAAAAATCCTGTATGTTGCAATGAAAATATTGCGGCAGCGAATGATGGACGGGATTCACAGCACGTTCCGCAACGTTTCGGTCACTGAGAACATTACGCGAGGCATGTTAGAGGACACAGAATTCATGAAAGAATATGTCATGCAAAACCTCGCATTCATGAAGACAGTGCCAAACTCAGTCCAGTACTGGGCCTCTCGCAAACGAGACCTCCTCGCGATGATCCGTCAGCTTGGCAAACCAACCGCCTTACTCACTATAAGCGCCAACGAAATACGCTGGACGAAACTGCTCACTATACTCCTCAAACTGAGCAAGAAATATCCTGGGAAAACGGCAAAAGATCTCGACACTTCTGAGCGTTGTGCTTTAGTGAGCGATGATCCTGTTACGTGCTGCATATACTTCTACAAGCTAGTTGGTTCGTTGATGAAAATTCTGAAATCCAAACAGTCTTACAATCCGTTCGGAAAATATTTCGTTAAAGATCACTTCCTACGTATCGAGTTCCAGCAGCGAGGAAGTCCACACGCACGTATATTGTTGTGGTTGAACGACGACCCGCGCGAGACCGTATCGGAAAGTATGCCAAGGACAGTCGATCTCGTGGAAAAACTAAGTTCAGTTGCTCGGGATGATGTGCCAAACGATTCTATCTACGCCAATCAGATACACAAGCATAGTTTCACTTGCACAAAGCGTGGCGAGACAGCTTGCAGATTCGGGGTTCCGTACTGGCCTATGCCCACGACCCGTGTACTGGTTCCGATGCCTCAAGCTGATGGACGCCACCAAAACCTAGAAGAGAAGGCCAAGGAGCTGCGTGCCTCTCTCGGTGAACGTCAATACACATCCATGGATGAGTTTCTTAATGCTAACGGCTTGACTTACGTTACGTATCTCGACATTGTGCGTTCAACATTGCACCGACCGACTATAGTGTTTAAGCGAAACTTTGACGAACTAATGACAGACACGTTCAATCCGTACCTAGCCGGCGAAGTCAACTCTAAAATCGACATTCAGTTTATCTTAGACGAGCACAGCTGCGCAGATTACGTCGTGGAGTATATAAATAGATCAGCCCGTGGAATGGGTGATCTGCGTCGTGAGCTCACCACGATGATGCAAGAGCATCCAGAACAGGACTACACGGGCCAATTGAAAGCGTTAAGTGTCAAAATGCTTAACGCAGTCGAGATGTCGGCGCAAGAAGCAGCATGGTATCTGCTGCGACAACGCATGAGCGAGGCTAGTCGTCAAATCGTGTATATTCCAACCGTGTGGCCGACTGAAAGGCAGTGCTGCCGCAAGCGTCGTCAGCAAATGGACCGCGAGGGCATCGACGAAGACAGCACCGATGTTTGGACCAAAAACATAATACAGCGATACGAAGAACGACCTGAATCATTAGAACAAGTGTATTTGGCTGAGTTCGCTTCGTGGTATGCTAACGCTAGTGATTTCCTTAACGAAGAAGACGACGTGCACGCGGATGACGATGAGGATTCTGAAGCTATACCTGAAACGAGAACGTCAAGAGCATCTAAAGAATATCGCAGACGACCGCTCGGACGAATCATACGGTATAGACGCTATGATATCGATGACACTGACAATTATAAACGGGAGATGGTTCTACTTTACGTGCGGTTTCGCAACGAAATGTCAGAGATTGTTGATCAAAATAAGTTTTTGCAATTATTCGATGAAAACGAAGATACCATTATGGAACGGCATAGACTATTCGAGACGAATATAAACATTGAAAACGTCGTAAAGGAACTCGAAGTGATGACGATTTTGGAAAACGATAATAACGGCAATCAAGCAAGAAGAGGAATCAAGAGCAGCGTTTGTCCAACGGTTGTTGGGAAAAGATGGTGCCAAGAAAAGCGATGATGTTAACAAAATCGTTCCCCGACAAGGATTCTCAATTGTGAAACAAAGCAGTATTGCTAGTTTCTAAGAACCTACAACCCAGAACAACGGGAGATCATTCTGGAGGTCATACTTCGATTACATGGTAGTGGAGATGACACTTTGTGGTGCTCTAGTTCAGCTGTTCTCCGAAAAATAAACCATCGACTGCAGGTGGTTCTGTGCAGCGATTTCAAACTGATACCACCGATACAATCGGAAGGGTGGGGCAGCCGTTGTGACTATACTGAGACCTTAGAACTTATATCTCAAGGTGTGTGGCGCATTTAAGTTGTAGATGTCTATGGGCTCCAGTAACCACTTAACACCAGGTGGGCTGTGAGCTCGTCCACACATCTAAGCAATAAAAAAAAAACTTGTCGCTTCCGACCGTCGCTATTACGATGCTCGGCAGCGACGTGTCCTGGCAGGCGATGCTAGACTTCTGCGAGTCCACCATCTCGCAGGGAGGCGGCGGAACGGGAGAGGGAGAGCTCTTCTTCCCTCTCGGCGCCATGCCGGGGATCAGAGGAAGGCGTTAATCCAGCTCAAGATATTTTTCTAACATAGTCCTATCCTTAACAGAATAACGCAGATTGAAGGAACTGAAATATGACACATGTATATAAGTTGCAAATAAATTGTTAATAGCGCATAGTTACTTGTAATTTTAATCTGTATAATTTAAGTAAAAAAATATTTGAATTATAAATAAATAAATGTTATAATAATTTATTGAAAAAAATTGTAGTTTTCAATGAACTCCTTTGTATTATGCAAAATAATGATGATAATTCAGTGATAATAATTCAATTAAACTCATAAAAGCATGCAGTTTTTTATCAATGTTTCTTTTAAGACGTTATCACGTGAAACTGTCGTCCATAAGCCGACTTTACAAACAACTAGCGACCCGCCCTCGCTTCGCTTCGGAAACATTAAAACACACATGAAACCAAAAAAATAAAATATTTTTTTTTTTTTAAAAAAGTAGCCTATGTTCATCAGGGACAATGTCGGCTCCTAATGGAAAAAGAATTTTTCAAATCGGTCCAGTAGTTTCGGAGCCTATTCGAAACAAACAAACAAACAAATCTTTCCTCTTTATAATATTATTATTATAAATTATAAACAACCAATTTTTTTTTTTAAAATAACGTATCATAGTTCTGTCTAAGATTGAATAACAACAAAAAGTGTGCTATCAAAAAAATGTTCTCTTCAGGATAATATCGCTATTGCATAAAAGGTTTTCTAGCTAAACGGCGACAATGTGTCACATAAAACCATTAGCAATATGCAGACTCACTACTAACACCAGTTGGGCTGTGAGCTCGTCCACCCAACTAAGCAATAAAAAAAAACTCGAACATATCCCTCTGATGTGATAGTGACTCCAATGTTTGGAGTAATTGTTTTTTATTGTTATTGCTTTTATGGGTGGACGAGCTCAAGACCCACCTGGCATTTGGCGGTTACAGGAGCCCATAGACATTTTTTTTTGGTACAAGTTATCCTTATAAGTAAAGGCAAGGGGATCTAAGCCTCTAAGGACTCTACAATGTAAATGCCACCATCCACCTCAAGACGTTCGTTCTAAGGTCTCGCAAGAGCATAGTTACAACGGCTGCTCCACCCTTCAAACCGAAAGGCATTACTGCTTCACGGCAGAAATAGGCAGGGTTGTGGTACCTACCCGTGCGGGACTCTCAAGAGGTCCTACCACCAGTAAAAATCCATTAAAAACGAATTAAAAAATGTCAAAATATCTAACAGCTGTTTTACTTTGGGCACAGACTCAGCAATATTGAACATAGATGAATCATATAATTATCTAAAAATTAGGATGTATTTATTTACAGTTTTTGTTTCAAAAATGAACCTTGTTTTGCCTGAGAGGTAATTAAATAATTTACTAAATTATTCTTTTGGCAGCCAAAACTTAGTGGTGGTGGTAAACTAATGATTACTTTATTTATTTCATTTCATTTCATCCAAAAACTTACGGTGTAGCCTTATCTCAATTCGTTTAATTCTAAATCCAGAATCGATTATTTATTATTTCTTCACTTTACAATTAATAAATTCAGCCTTTTAATTAAAGAGTCAGCCTTATACGGTTTGTCCCCTTTGCTTGATCGATAGACAATATGGTTAAAAGTTCTTTACAAAACATCGATGTCAAAGTGTCATCGATGATCGATGTCAAGTAACTCCATAGATAATACACTAATAAAATTAGATCATTATTTGTGTACGATTGTCCCTACACTGAAGTAAATGTTTTTTGTGATAATCCATATGTTTTCACCTTCACAAAGTAGATTAACATCAAAATGAAGACAGTTAAATTAGAAATTTCAGTTGACACAGTGTGCCATGGGTGTTTAAGTACCGATAGGCAAACAAGCACTTCGAGAGATACATCTGAATTATATTTACGTTTATTAGAAGACGGTTTATCCTCTGTGAGTTTTATTCTTCGTCTTTTTCTGATAAGAGAGGCTTCAGGCAGCCAGTGCCCTTAATCATTGGCTAACAGTATTTTCTTTTGTTCTCATATCATATTATAATAAAAAAAAATGTATTCGCTTTGGGTTCACTCTGAAAATGACTGGTTAAAATAATATATAAAAAATCAAGAGAACGTTATGCTAACAAAATTCAATCAAACCCAGTTAGTATACTATTTATTGGCTTCTTAACTGTTTCAAACCAATGCCATTTAATGCAATCTTCCAGGCTGTTCATCAGATTCAACGGTACCGCAATTTTTACTATCATTATGACATGGTTCAGGTTTGATGATGATAGAGCAGGCAAATATCACACATCAAATATTGCTTTGATATTATAACATGTATGGCTTTGTATATGTTTGTATTTTGTGTGTTCCCATCGCTTGCGACGAAGGGGGCGAGTAAACTAACCCACAGACACAGCCCACTGAGGTTCTCGCCGGATCTTCTCAGTGGGTTGCGTTTTTGATCTGGTAGTAGATTTTGCGAAGCACTGCTCTTCCTAGGGCTAATGTTAGCAACATTCTTAGGTTAGAGCTCACTTGGTGATGCTATGGGTAGAAAAAAATATATTGTGCGTGCATTTCTAATATGGATACATTTCTTTTCTCAATAAGCAATGCACCTACCACATGACTATGTACCATCCTTAGTCGACTGGTAGGGGATGCCTTACAAGAATGTCTATTGTAATATTAATTGAGCATAAACTTGAATAAATAATTAAACATCGAACATACAGCTTAGATTTCTTGATTTTACAGATATTGTATAGTAACAATTAGAAATTATACATTTTATTAAACAATTAAGATTAACAGAAAAAATTACATTCAGAGCTATTTTGTAGCTATATTCTTTTTGTTTTATTGCCTGTGTAGGGAAATGAGCATACAGCCCACCTGATGCTAAGTGGTTACCGTCGCTCATGGACGACAGCAATGCCTAGTTCTCCAAGTAAAGTTGTCTTCTGTTAAAGGCAAAATCCTGAGCTCTGAAATCAATGAGGTTTTTTTGGAGGCTTGCCTTATCTTGCCGCCTAAATGATATCATATAGATGTTAGTGGAAAATAAAGATAGCTGATAAATGCTGTTCCACATTTCTTTCAGGAAAATAAGGATGTGGCTCTCTGTTGGGAATGTACAGCAATCTTCAGGAAGATCCAGAGGTTTCAGAAGCAAATTAAAAATGCTCAAATCTCTCTTCTCTTATACCAATTGGTAAGTGAAACTCTATATATGATTAATGCATAAAATAATAAGCAGTACAGTAATTGAATATGCAATATCGAAAAGGGCACATGTCGCATATTTTGTCAAATACGTTTTATCATATACTTACATGCAAGTAGTTTTGAGGCTTACCTACACCCATTTTATAATAATTCCAGTAATTTTCAATTGCTAATTACTTAACTCTAAAGAGCTTTAGAAAATAATCAGTTTTTTTTATTTCCTGAACATTTTACATTTTGAGAGATGTGCCCTTTTCGAAATTGCATATTCAATTATAACATGTTAGTAATGGTGCTTCTAGGTACTTCAAGCACCGGTCACCGTTCTCGTCGAACCCGTCGCTTGCGACGAAGGGCTCGACGAGTAAATTAACTCTCAGACACAGCCCACTGAGTTTCTCACCGGATCTTCTCAGTGGGTCGCGTTTCCGATCCGGTGGTAGATTCTGCGAAGCACGGCTCTTGCTAGGGTTCGTGTTAGCAACGTCATCAGGTTTGAGCCCCGTGAGCTCACCTACAAAAGTTAGGGTACGCTGAAATAGCCTCTCAAGGCTCTCTCTCAGCTTAGGTAGGAAAAAAAAATAAAAAAAAAACAAAATGTTAGTAATATTAGCTGTATTTTTTTAATTATTACTCATATTTTTATGTAATCCTCTATAACCATCACTTACTGTGGAGATATGGTGGATTGTACGTGTCCTTCAGTCAGGGCAGCTCCTCATCGGTCAGTCACACGTAATAATATAATATTAATTTCAGAATACAAGGACACCGTTATCAAAATTAGATACCGTAATCAAAAGTGTATACGATCTGGAGTGCGTACACGAAGAGAAAGCGGCACAAATAACCGAAGAAGGTAACTCGATAAAAATAGAAGCGGAAACGGAAGTCGCACTGCCCGCAAAAGAAGAATTAGATGAATATGATACTATAACGTACGAGGAGGACTACGCTGATGATGCGTGTATGAAAAGCATAATTGAAAACGAACAGAGAGCCAGCAAAATGCCAAGTAACAGCAATATCAAACCCATGTCGATAAAGCAATACGAGAAATATGCAGTTTTCTCGAAGCAGAACGAGAAAGTGAATTCTGGTGACCTGAAAAAATATTACAAGAACGTTTTCTTGAGTGACGGTGAGATAGAGGATTATTTGAACACTAGATTAAGGAGGGATAAGAGCTTCCATCGTTTGAATTACAAGTGCGAGGATTGTGTACTCGGATACAAGGATAAGAGGGACTGGAATCGGCATAATGCTCTTCATCATAACACCGTAAGTGACATATTTTATGTAAATTTATTTGTCCTAAGAAACCTAATGTTTCAGATAGCGCCATGTTGTTTGCAAAAATAATTGTCGCTTATTAAGCGAAATGTCGCTTAAACTAAATAGCCTTTCATCCTTGGATATACAACGTGACTCTTTCAAACACCATGAATTTTAAGGAGTTGTCATGGGGTATTTTATGTTCAGGCTCACTGATGATTGTCGCTGAGATAATTGTAGACTCCCATAAGGTATCATAGTTGTAGAGTATTTAATGCATGACTGAAGCTTTTTTTGTGCAATTTTTTTTGCGCTATGACATCACACGAGGCTCGTGGAGAGTACTTAACGGTAGGCAGCGGCTTGGCTCTGCCCCTGGCATTGCTGAAGTCCATAAGCGACGGTGGCCACTCACCATCAGGTAGGCCGTATGCTCGACTGCCTACACGGGCAATAAAAATAAAAAATAATAATAGAATAGCTTTCAAGTACATATCTCTCGATGTAGTCTGTCGATAAACCGTTTCCTATAATCACAATCTTCTCTTAAAAAGACAAATAATTATTGAAATGGTTATTCAGTGTCAGTGGTCGCTTACAGTCGACCGGTCCCTACAAGTGCAGCGAGTGCAAAACGAAATGCCAAACCATCGATGTACTCGCCCAGCATTGGATAACTCACACGAAGGCGCTGCAGTGCGTCATCTGCGGCGACCTGCACAGGTCCCTGGGCGAGATACGGAAGCACGTGAACAGGGCGCACACAGGCGTGTTCACGTGCAAGGAGTGCGGGGACCACAGCAGGTTGGTTGCGAAGCGACGCCAGATCCATCTGGCGGCCTGAGTCTACCTAAGCTCTTGAGAGAAATTAGATAACGCACGATTGCTTTACAGCAGCAATAATTGGTGGTACCTACCCGCGCGAACATTTAATACTTTCTTTGCAAATGTTGTCAACATGTATCAATAGATGGTGTTGAAGTGGATTTTTTTCAAAATTAAATTTTATTTATTTATTAATCAGTTACAATAATAGAATCATTATTAAAACTTATAATTGTTAGCGCTGTAAGCAAAAGCCGAAATCAGTTATGCGGAGCTCAAACACCCGAGTTTATTTTGATGCCAGCAACAGACATGAAATTTTTTTATTTTATTTTTATTTCCCTGGTAGGCAAATGAGTTTACGGCCCATGATGGTGAGCGGTTACCGTTTCTAGTAAAAGTCAGCTAGAGGCACAGTTAGGCTGCGGCCCACCTTATTCAGACTACTCACGACTCCGTTGATGTTAAGTGAACTTTCACAGTCACACAATATTATCTCTCATATACAATATGCCACAGAGAAAGCTCTAACAAATCGAAATTAGCCAATTGTCTCTGTCCAAAGTTGTGATGTGCCATTATTATTGCCTGAACCCGCACCAATCATTGGAAAAACATGCCGACAAACGTTCGCTTCCTTAACGCGCAATGTACGCTAAACAACTATCTCGTTTTGCCGCAGAACGCTAAGGGAGTTCAGTCAGCATTACAAAAGCAAACACGAGAAGCTGGTATGCGATCATTGCGGGAAAGGTTTTTACAAGAAACGCGTCCTAGAAAGTCATATGAGGTGAGCTTGTTGTAGCTTTGCAGTCCTTAAGGAGACAAGTCACAGTTCGTCTGGAGCTCAGCGGATACTGGAATCCATGGATATCATAACGTGAATGGCACCGTCTAACTTGAGAAATAAGTTCGAAATCTCAAGCGACGACGGCTATCTCGTCCGGCATGACAGCTTTACGGCAAAATAGGCCTGATCATCGTACCCATGGTTTGCCGGGTGTTTATAGCAGTATATTAGCATGTTCGATGGGCATTAGTCTTAGAACTTGTTTGAGATGATCCCTTCATCTTCTTTTTACTATCACCCTGCTGGTGATTGCTTGGAATCTCGGCAATCGTGCCAGCTCTTTCTAATTGAGACTCAAACCTCATGTCTCAAGGTGACGTACTTACCTAGTGTTGACGCAGATTCTGATGTCTTTGAGAGAGATTTTTTCTCTAAAAAACTGAACTACTCTCAAAACCTTTTTTTTATCAAAGTGCCATCTATTATTGTTTTAACGAAACAGGAGGAACCATTTACCGGCCAAATGCGAGGTCTGCGGCCGTCAGTACTCTCTGTACCACACCCTGGAGGTTCACCTGCGGACTGTCCATCCCCACCTCATGAACGGGGCCTACAATAGGGACGCCTCGTACTGCGTGGAGTGTGATAGACAATATCCAAGCGTCTACAAATACAGGAAGCATCTGAAGCAGTCGGTCAGGCATACCCCGAAAAAGAAAGTAAGGTGAGTTTGGTGTGTCTATGGGAATTGAATTGAATTGGCTAGATGAAACGCATCATCACAATTTCACCGATTCCCGCATCGGGCTAATATTCATGTGATGAACAGGTTTTTTTTTGCTCTTCGTCCGGTTGTTTACTATCTATATATCGGCGCTTAAAAGGCAAACGTGACTAAGCGACAATGCGTGAATCTTATAATAGACTAATTTAAAGTTGAAATACCTGAAAACAAAATTTATTTTAACGAATCTAGCTAGTAGCTGTAGGGTTGAAATGATTTTAATAGACCTAGAAATATATATTTTTTGCGCATCGAATATGGATATTGCCCATCATTTATGTACAAAGCAGTTATTGTCATTTAGTCACGTTTGCCTTTTAAGCGTCGATATGTATACATTTAAACGTATATGGGTATGGTAGGCAGTGGCTTGGCTCTCCTCCTGACATCGCTGACGTCCATGAGCGACGGTGACCACTTACCATCAGGTAGGCCGTGTGTTCGTCTGCCTACAAAGACAATAAAAAAAAAATTAAAAAATGTATGTCCGTCTCTGGTGCCCGTAATACAAGGAATCCTAATTCGGCGCTGGATGACCGTGCGTGTTTAGTTTCCAATTATTACGAAAATCAATCTTGCCTTCGTTACACCTATTTACGGTTGAGAACTGACATCTATGTTCCCTTGATTTCGGCTCGGAAGAAAAGTAATTAGTCGATCGATAATTAAAAATACGTCTAATGTATATGATATTAGGGATTATTTTATGAATTGCCAAAAGAAATTCAGCGTTTCATAGTAAGGCTAGACTGAATGTTTTCGCCAAACGCAGTGCCTATTGTCTCATCACAAGGTATTTAGTTCTCCACAATTTGCCAAGATCGAACACTCTGCTTTTGTCGGGCGTATCATGCGATCTCCAAGACACAGTCGTGAAAAGCTTCTGATTCTTTGTCAAGTGGAGGGGAGACGCGCCAAACACAAGATAATCGGATATTAGGACAGTTTTAGGCAGCATCCAAAGGGCGGTCCACTTCTTACCGGACAGATCTTCACAGAAAGGCTTTTAAACTCATAAGAAAAAATAAGTGCTTATTGTGACGACATACTAGTCGCCACAGTTTGATGCCAAAGCCATTTCGGTCACCCGCAGGATACCGTGCCCTGAATGCGGGAAAGTCTTCACGCGTACGAACTACATGAATAATCACTACAGGCTGTTCCACTCGAAGGACACGAAGCATTATTGTCAGCTTTGTAACAAGGTAACTTTTAGATAAAGTCCTGGTGCCTACTGAAGGAATTGGGTGGAGCTTCCACGCTCCGTAAGTATTAGTGTACCGTTATACCCTGGTGGTAGGATGTAATACCACACTTGTTGGTACCACCATCATTCCGCGAAGCAGTCATGCGAGCAGTCATGCGAGCAGGCTTCGAAGACGGACTCTAAGCCAGTAAAACGGAGATTTTCACCTCATGTCCCAAGCTAAACTTAACACCAAGTGGACCGTGAGGTCGTTCAGCCATCGATGAAGGAACGGTAATCGTTAATGTTGAGTGAGCAGTCTAGTCCCTAGTGGTAGTACCATAGCCCTACCTATTTCTACCGTAAATCTCCTCCGTGAAGCCGTTTTGCCACAGAAGTGAGACTTAGAACCCATGTCTCACGTCGGTGGCGGGGTTTTCCCTATGTATATGGGGTCCAATAACCTTTTAACACTAGTGAGCAGTGGGCTGGGGGCTTGTTCAGACAACTAATCCATAAAAATGATAAATGGAATGGGCACTATAATCTGCTGATCTCGACTGCCGTTGCTGTACAGCATAGATTTGAACCTCGTATCTTATACAGAACAGTCTCTTACATCCAGATGGGTTCGAAGTACATAGCCCTTTAACTGCCATGCAGGTCACCGGTGAGCTATATGTACTACGGATATTATGGCTCGTTGACGTGGCAGCGTGGTATGTACATGTGATGCGTAGAGAGGAGATGTATGGAAATGGTAGTGCAAGGTAGAAGAAGATAGAGGAGGTAGAGGTCGACCGAAGAAGACATGGCTGAAGTGTGTGAATGACGATACGAGAGAGAGAGAGGAGTGAGTGTTAAGTTGACGGCCGATAGAAGAGAATGGAAGAGAAAAATTCACTGTGCCGATACCACCTAGTGGGATAAGTGGAGAAAAAAAGAAGAGACTTCTCGCTGTTTCAGCTCTTCGTCACCGGCTACGCGGCCAGGAAACACAAAGAATTCGTTCATGACAAACAAACTTTGCCCAAAAACAAGATCTGCGATATATGCGGCCGCGGCTTCAGTGTGAGTTCCAACCACTTTCTACCTTAAAGACTCATATTTCTCACTAGTGGCCCGCTCCGACTTCGCTCGGGTCTTTAACAAAAATTAAAAAAAAAAAATTATAATACACACACATTACCCTTACATTTGCGTCAGGTCTCTAAAAATAGAAAATTATAAAGATAATTTGAATATTTTTTTTAATAAACTTTTATTTTCATTTAAATAATATTTGTTTTTATCTATTTTTATTTATTTTAATATTATCATTTTTCTAATTTTCTTAAAAAGGTCATACATACAAAACAAAAGCCATTGAGTTTATTGAGTCAGAGCTTCCCCCAAATCAAAACCCCCAAAAATTTTAATTTGCGTAATTATTGTTGGTAGGACCTCTTGTGAGCCCGCACGGGTAGGTATCACCGCCCTACCTATTTCTGCCGTGAAGCAGTAATGCGTTTAGGTCTGAAGGATGGGGTAGCCGTTGTAACTACCCGTCTAGCTGAAATTACCTCTTAGACCGCCAAGCGAATAGGCATAGCCGTCTAGCTCAAATTGCCTCTTAGGCCACCAGCGAATAGGCAGAGAAAAAGAAAAAGTTAATAGTTATGTTCACGTTTTCAGACGAACAGGATTTTAACTAATCACAGGAGGACACACACCGGAGAGAGACCGTACAAATGCCCGCACTGTACCGCCGCGTTCGCCCAAAGCACCGCCATGCACACGCACATGAAATCGCAACACAAACACGTAATGCCCCTGCAGATCCCCGTCCACCAGATGGCGTGATATCGTCGTCGCCTAGCGCCATCTGTTGTTCCGGAGCGGAGTTTCGACCGCCCAAATCGATGGATGAAAGACTAAAGCTTCAAGCGACATTCATCTTTGTAATTAAATGTGCTGTTTATTTGGTACTGGCTGAGACCCTAGATGTTACCCGCGGTTATTGTCGTACCGCGGGCGACACTGCGGAGTGAAGCTAGTCTAAAAAAGTAGCCCAAGTTACTCCTTATATCATTAGTTACCTATCAGTGAAAGTCCCGTCAAAATCGGTCCAGCCGATCCAGAAATTAGCAGGAACAAACAGACAGACAGACAAAATAAAAAAAACGTTATTTTGGTATATTTACTGTGTATCCCTTCTTACGCATTTAGTAAAAAGTGGTTATATTATTATTACAAACAGACACTCCAATTCTATTTATTAGTATAGATTAGTATCGATGTTTTGAATTAAACTTCAATTATGTTTACCTCATTGAAATAGCTGAAGAAGTGTTTTTGCTATGATGATTTTTCCAAATATGAAACTTTAAATGTCGCGCGATTCTGTAAAGTTGCAAAAATGTTGCTTAAACCAAATAGCCTTTCACCCGTCGAAATGAATTACCAGTCAAGATAACAGTGGAGAAGTTTGGTCTTGATTTTCGAAATTGCCGCGCAAATGCTCCATAACTAAGCCTACGCTGGTGACGTCATTTTTTTTAAGAGATTTTATGACCTGATAACTAAGACCTTTAAGTCATGTCTTATTTTTATGAAAATAGATATGGGAGTGAAATGAAATGAAGATGAGATGATGAGATTGGTGAAGTCATTTGATTCTAACCACATTACCGACACAAGTATGACGTCACAATGTTATTAAAGTTTGCTTTGCGATTGGAAGATACAAGAATGTTTGATGGATTCATAAATGGTTCATTAAAAAAAATAAAAACGAATTATGGTTTTTATGTAATTAAGCTGCATTAAAAATACTTTTTGAATACTATGATTCTGGCATTTTCCTTGGTTTTAATCTCTGACTTGTGATTGTCTTTATATTATTTCTGATGTATTGATAGTCAATAGTTCAGGTTTAATATTAATATGCAATGCATTTTTAGAAAGAATATAATGACAATAATAAACATTTTATTAAAAAATTAAAGTTTTTTTAATAAAAAATACTCGTGAATTGTTGTGCGAACATTGAATTCGTATCCAAAATGTGAAATTTAATTATACATCACATGAGTGTAAAATATAAATAAATGTGGGATCGTATATTCGATTTTGACCAATAAAACAGTTGATGGCTTCACACGAACTTGATTTTTATTTCGTCTTTATCATAGCAAAGTAAATAAAATATAAAAAAGTGTATTTAATGATCCGAGTTACACTACGTCAGTTCGCCGTGGCGTCCCTCATTCCTCCTTCGATCAATAATAGTACTAAATTAAGGATCAGGAAAAAAAATAAGACGCTCAAGTGGCCACGTTTGCAGACACGAAAACATCTTCATTTCTTAGAAAAAAGCTTAATAATGTTAACGGCTTCAGTTTATTATAAACCTTAATGCTTAAACATAAAGTTTAATTGCACAGTATATATCGTATATATTTTTTTATTGCTTAGATGAGTGGACGAGCTCACAGCCCACCTGGTGTTAAGTGGTTACTGGAGCCCATTGACATCTACAACGTAAATGCGCCACCCACCTTGAGATATAAGTTCTAACATCTCAGTATAGTTACAACGGCTGCCCCGCCCTTCAAACCGAAACGCATTACTGCTTCACGGCAGAAATAGCCAGGGCGGTGTTACCTACCCGCGCGGACTCACAAGAGGTCCTACCACCAGTATTTATTAAGGTTCTTTCATCAGAAAAAGGGTATTATGGAATAAATTTAAAATGTCGCTTGAAAATAAAAAAGTCATCAGTACAAAAATATTTATTCTAAAATGATACATAAATACTCATTCCTCCGCTCGCTTAAAACAAAACTATACGTCAAACATTCATTCGCCGTCTCTCTTACCTTCTAATACGAACTCTATCTCTCTCACTCAAACGTGCTCCATACATCCATACATTCTGTTCCTACATAAATAAAAACCATAAGCACCGAAAACTGATTTACTGGGTGCTTAGTGCGAGTTTTTTAACGTTTTCGATAACGTAAAAGTTAACTTAAATTTGTACGGAGTTGGAACGTTTGCCTACCTTTGCCGCCAGGGGCGCTGTTTTTACTGCATACAAATTTAAGTGAACTTTTATTGTGGATCTACGATCCAAAGTTTTATTAATTTAATTAAAGAAATCCAACTATTTTAATTGGTGTTCTAATGCATGCGTACATAACTATACTAAGACCTTAGAACTTATATCACAAGGTGGGTGGCGCATTTACGTTGTAGATGTTTATGGGCTCCAGTAACCACATAACACCAGGTGGGCTGTGAGCTTGTCCACCCATCTAACCAATTAAAATAATATATACAAGAATTAATTTCAATTCGATTATAGTCCAAAAGATACAAATCCCTGCCATCAGCGCCATCTATCCGGCACTAATATAATTAATGTTTTGTCGAAGCTATGATGTCGACCTTAACATATTGTGGCAAAGTTTCACATCAATTGGGCTAACGGTTCCAGTTTTAGGCGAACATACATACAAACACACATTCTGTTATAAGTAGATCGAGAGGCTAAAGGCTATTTGGTTTAAGCGACATTTTTTTAACTTCACACGATAGCCATTAACAGTTTAAAATTTGGAAAAAAACTTCAACTATGTATATGAGCGGAGCAAACTTGATTGAAGCTCAATTAAAAACCTCAAACAGTTAATGCTATATCAATACATAGTATAAAACAAAGTCGCTTTCTCTGTCCCTATGTATGCTTAAATCTTTAAAACTACGCAACGGATTTTGATGCGTTTTTTTTTAATAGATAGTGATTGAAGAGGAAAGTTTATATGTATAATAACATCCATTAAATAATGGAGAAATCAATAATAAATTACAGTTTCCGAGGCGAAGCGAGGGCGGGTTGCTAGTTTGGTATAAATAAAACGGACCTTTAATTACAAAGATAAATTTTGGCGTATTAAGCGAACTGTCGCTTAAACCAAATAGAACCAAAAATACTTTCAAACCTCGTCAATGACTTCAATGGGAGTGCTAACAATAAAACATGATAAATAAACTTATTGTTTTTATTTCGTTAAAAATACATTAATAATAATTTGATCAGCCTTATAAATATAACTATATTACAATACTCGGGGCCCCTTGCCTTCCATTGGCCGATGAAGGCCCGAGATCAACGGGGCACCCAGATTTTTGCTAAATACTCAAATGATAACCGATTGTTATCAATTGGGAAATGGTGCAGTTCATTATCAATCCTTTTGCATATTGTTAATAAAAAGCTTTCCCTCATTTCATAGTTATGGAGGCCCCATTATCCCGGTGCCTCTAGGTAAAGACTGCCTTGACAATATTTATTTTAGGTCGCAACCGAGCAAGTCCAAGGTACATAGGATTGATCCGTGGTAGTCATGTCAATCTAAGCGTATTCTTCAATGTTATAGATATCGGTAGAGTAATCAACAATATCACGATGATCCAACAACAAACCGATGCCTCCAATGAACACTACGCTAACTCCAAAAATTCGTAGGTTTACAGGAGGAGCGTTTAAACGTAAAAAGTTTATAAAATCTTTATTATTGCAGATATATTTATGGTGTTTTTGTGTAACTAGCTGATTTACTCTTGCTTCTGAACCCCATCAATATAATTTGTAATAAATACTTTTAAAATAGTGAAGCGATTTGCGTGAAAAACGAAAATTTCAAAATTTTGAGTTAGAGTAGTGTTCATTGGAGGCATCGAAACATGAAATCTACTTTAGTTAAGTAGTCATTTGTAAGTGATAATTGCACGATCATCCGGCACTAGAATCTCCATGATTTCAAGATTTCCTGGTCGTCGTACAATGGACGGAGTTAAGTGGGAATAAAGGCAGTTACAGTAGGCAACTCGTGATGTCCCTTGTTCGACGAACCTTTAGCATTCTGCCGTGATGAGAGAGTCATAAGAATCGGGCCACATTAAGCTGCATTTACTACACAACATTTTGTTAATTCATTCGTAGAACCTAACCCCCTCTTTCAACATTCCTGGTCCAAAAACGGTACCGCACGACTTTAGTATAAACCTGTTTCTAGCTAAAAACCCTTTAATGTAATTAAGAATACTTTATACAAAACACTTTCGTCACAATATTAGTTTTATAAAAATTAGATTAGCTTTCAACGCCTATTTAAACTAATGCTCAAATTAAAAATCTGATTATCGTTAAAATAAAATTTGTCAAAAAAAAAACTTCTATTTATAACTTGGAAATTCCAGTTCGGTTCTGACAAATTTCTAAGGTAACTGAAGCTAACATAATTACATATTAAACTGGTTCTATCACTATTTCACCTACTGGCTCATTTGATGTTAAGCTGTTATAGGAACTGAGCTATTTCATGAATGTCTGACAGTCAATTTTGAGAGAATAAATCTTCAATCTCAACTCAGTTGGACTACCCTTTCCCTTTAAACACAAATTTGATTAAGCCCTCTGAAAACTTATGATATTGCCAATTTTAAAACTGCATTTTCTGAATCAAATCAATCATATTTAGGGTAGGATTACTGTTGTTAAGCTTATGAAAAATAACTTTTGTTACATTTTGGGATGACCATTTTAATTAATTGAATTTGCATCAACAAGGTTAGCATGCAATTTGTACCAGTACACCTCTGGGAACAAATGGCAAAACACCCAAGCAAAAGCCTGATTGAATTTACCATTAAGATGAGGTGACAGTTGTACCATTTTGAGCAAAACAATCATCCCAAACGCTAATCCAGGTTTATACCAGATCTAATACGAGACAGGTGGCACTTGAGGCATCATATTGTGAGTGTAGACAACGCACTGCGTATCTATCGGTTTGTAAGTTTGCATCTGTTGTTGTGGCATCATATTTTGTATCGGCTGTACCTGTGGCTGCACGGGCGGCTGTTCCGGGGGCTTTTTATTCTTCTTTTCGCACTTCTTAAATTTAATACCTAGCTTATTTAGTAATATCAATCTTAGCGATTCTTTGCCGCCGCAATAGTTTAACTCGTGTTTGGCAGCAGCCAGAATCTTACCGAGCGTAGGTACTTCCTTACGCATCGAGTAACCATTGACGATGCTTCTTAAAGCGCACAGCTGGAAATAATCTAATTGTACCTTGGTCTTTCTCACTCTTCTTTTCTTGGGTCCGGTCATTCGCGTTTGAGTCGCTTCCGCGCGCAAACCGTCGCGTTTTATTCTTTTGATAGTGCTCTCGGACAGTCCGGTCGCGGCACACGCTCGTTTTACGACGTTTTCGACTGGGAAAGCGTAGCCTCTGTTTTGTTTTTCGCTTTCGAAAAATTTTATGACCTTATAAATGAGTTCGCGGGCTTGGCCATCGATCGCCTCTTTTTTTTTCTTGCCGACTGCTGGCTTTTGTTCGTCCGGTGCAGGCGGCGGAGGCTCTGGCTGGTTAGTGGACGTGTCCCCGTGGGCTTGGGGCTCGGGCTGCGGCGCTGGGGGAGGCGCAGGAGCCTGCTGAGGCTGTTGTATCGACATCTGAATTGACGACACATCGTACACGTTTATATTCATCATTTAATGTCTTAAAATGTAAACTAACTCTATTTAATACTATTCGTTGCTTTGTCAGTATGTTTCTAGTGAAAGTTTTTGTTTATTTACGTTAAAAATATATAAACGCAAACAATACGAGAATTTGGTCGCCATTTCTAATCATAGACAAGATTGCATTACTTTTTTTGTAAATCTGACTACTACTGAGTAATTTGATGTATCGATTTAAGCTGTAGATGAACTGTGAATTGAAAATGTTTTTTTATAAAGAATCTGTGAATCGATTTTTAATAATAATAAATAATCAAATCAGTTTTAGCGTAGCGTAATTATCGATAAATATATTGTATTTTATAACGCAGTTTCTACCCAGTCATTTGAATTAAAAAAAAGTGGCCTATACTATTAAGCGTATTCTGTGCACTTATCCGACTGCAACGCGGCGACGGGGCAACCTAAATGCTGCCGTCACCCAAAGAATTACTTGTTGGATCCCCCGGATTCAATAGCTGGGTACTCACCTAGCCGTGTAGCACGTAACGTAACAGATACAGTATCCAGTGAGTACGTAGGCACGAGCCCGCTGCGAGCCGCTCGCGGAAGGAGCGCAGCAAGCTCGCAATGACCCGCCAAGTGGCGGTATCACTGCGAACACAAAGGCGGCTCGCAGTGTGCTTGTGGCAGCTCGTAGCTAGATACGCTGTGGCCCGTGGACAAGCCGTATCCACTTGCAGGTTGATACAGTATCTGTTACGTTACATGCTACACAGCTAGGTGAGTACCCAGCTAATCTCGGTGGTTTTAGACCTTTCAAGCACCAGTCACTGCTTTAGCCAAGTAACTAGAGAGAATTTGCTAACACTTGCCCTAGCAAGAGCAGTGCTTCGCAGAATCTACCACCGGATCGGAATCGTGACTCACTGAGAAGGTCCACCAAGAAATTCAGCGCGCTGATTTTAGGTTAGGTTGCACGTGGAACTCTTTGCCGAGTTCTCTGAGCCTGCTCCTAGTGTTAGAGCTTAAGGCGTCTAATTCAAAGGTTATTGGACCTGATGGATACGTAAAGACGTGATTTTTACTGGTTGCTTAATAAATATTATTATTATTGTTTCAAAACCCACTTTCTTCATTGCAACTATGCAGTTACCAAGGATATATAAATAGTCGTCTTTAATTAAGTACGAAATTTATATTTCAGACAAACGAGTAAATGACCAAAAAGTATTTTATGAAAAATATTGACCTTAGCGACCTTACCTTTTAGTGTATCACTTGCACACCCTTACTCCACCACTTCACTTCATATTTGACACCCGTCTTTCCGTGCCGTGAAGCAGTAACGTGTTTCGGTTTGAAGGGTGGGACAGCCGATGTACCTACTGTAGAGCTGAGACTTAGAACTCATGTCTCAACTTGAGTGGCGACAGTTACGTTGTTGATATCATTGGTGCCCAGTAACTCACTTTTAGGCTCACCTGATAGTGATTTGTTACCGTCGCCCATGGACTTCAGCAATGCCAAGAACAGAGCCAAGCCGATGCCTACCGAAAAGCTGCCTGCTTCCGTGCAAATCGCAAGCACTTCGAAGCTAAGTTACTCATGCCGATTGTCGGGTGAGCTAAGCCCAGCCTCCCCTCCCAACCCCCCTTTGACGAGACCGCACAAGTGGCTAAATAAAACACCCATAATAGCTTTATTAACCAAACGTCGATTTATTTCTTCGTTCATTTCTCCATTCCGCGCCCGTGCACCAGCCGCTTGTGGTTGTACAGCGTGCCCGAATGAGCAAAAGTGGCCTCGCACACCGGACAAACGTACGGGCACTCACCGGTGTGCGTGCGTATGTGCGCCTTTAACATTTTCGAAGACTGCAACATTTAAATATTTTTTTCGTTAAAATTTGTTTGGTAGGCAGCGGCTTGGCTCTGTTCTTGGCATTGCTGAAGTCCATGGGCGACGGTAACCACTCACCATCAGGTGGACCGTGTGCTCGTCTGCCTACACGGGCAATAATACGTTGTAGGCGTTGTAGATGTCTATGGTTACCGGAACCACTTAACACGTGACGAGTTTCTCTCCGGATCTTCCGATCTTTCCGATTCGGTGGTAGATTCTGCGAAGCACGGCTCTTGCTCGGGTTCATGTTAGCAATGTCATCAGGTTTGAGCCCCGCGAGCTCACCTACTAGTTCGGTGAATCTAGAATAACCCCTCTGGGTTACTAGAATAGGTAGGAAGAACAAGCTGTCAATTCCGACGACCCAATTTCATCTGAGGGGGTTACTTGACCGACGCGGTCCCCCACCAGCCCTAAGTTCTCAGTTACTTCGCACCGCCCCTTTACTTCTCAACTGTTCCATAGAGACCAAGTCTACGCACTGTACCCCCTGAGTACGTCACGCCCCTACCCCTCGTCCCCCCTGAGTACATCACACCCCCAGCTCACCGTGAAGCTGCGCGCGCAAATCTCGCATATCTTATCCCGGGGCCTCTTCTTGCTTTCGTGTTTGAGCCTCATGTGTCTCCGTTTGTGATGCGCTGTAGTGAATATCTGCGATCGAAATTAATTAGATATGCGATTTGGGAACCCTCAAATCACAGCATGGTTTTACGGCTGGCAGCGGCTTGGCTCTGCCCCTCGCATTGCTGAAGTCCATGGGTGACGGTAACCACTTATCATCAGGTGGGGCCGTATGCTCGTCTGTCTACAAAGGCAAATGATTAATTTGACACATTAATCAACTGGGATGAAATTAAATGTAGTGAGATGAGATGATATGGGATGAAATATAATCTCAGTAAAGTGGTCGTCATTTACTGAGATTTTTTCAGTGGACTTTTTGGAGGATCCCGACAGAAGTTACGTCCAGCGGCTTTGTTTCATTTTCCCACATTTGTGTCCTGTCACAGATATTAAACAGTTAATAAAACACCGTTATTACACATTTAAACCTGAAAAAACACTAAATAGACAAAATCATCACACAACTTCACTACTCGCGCCAAAAAGTCTCTTCGAAGATTCCGCTTCATATAGATATATAGATGCCGGACGAGCCAATCGAAAGCGCTTTGAAAGCTCCCGCTGTTCGATCTGATCCGGTGATATCGTCTGCCAAGCACTGCTGTTACTCTGGAATAGACTATTAAGACTAAAACTTTATACCTTGTCGCAACGTGGACACTTATGCTCGGTTGCTCCGCCCAAATGCGCACTCGTTATATGCCTGACGATGCTTCGTCTCGTATAATATTTCAATCCACAATCATCGCATTCGTATCTTGAAAAAAAATCAAAGTGTAATCACAATTTATTTACATAAAAAACAAAAGAAACAAGAAATGAACTTGAAAGTGAATAGTGAACTTAATTTGGGGTCCATTTAAATAATCTACGCAGGTAAGAGCAACGCCATCTATCGTCGAATAGCGGAAACGAATATCAAAAGAACTAGTAAAATCGAGAACACACGAGAAGTACAACGCCATCTATTATCAAATAGCGGAAACACATATCTAGCCTTATCGAGAATGTGCTCGATAATTCTAGGGATATCGTATCGACTATAAAAGCGATGCAGAGATGACGCGAAGTCAGTTAGTAATCGGATCTACTCGAAGCGAAATGGCGAACGAATCACCTGAAGCGAAACGGAAGAAGTGAAGTGAGAATTGTAAAGGGGTTTTTTAAGTGTTCTAAGTGTTAAATACGAGTTTTAAATTGTACTTTGGTGGGACTTTTATTTATCCCGAACCCCAGCGCGTAACAATATATTGTTATCAATTAATAGTTAAATCCTAACCCTCAGACACAGCCCACTGAGTTTCTCGCCGGATCCTCTCAGTGGGTCGCGTTTCCGATCCGGCGATAGATTCTGCGAAGCACGGCTCTTGCTAGGGTTCGTGTTAGCAACGTCATCAGGTTTGAGTCCCGTGAGCTCACCTACTAGTTAAGGCGACGCTGATATAGCCTCTCCAGGCTATCAACTTAGGTAGGAATAAAAAATAAAAAAAAGTTAATTCAACTACTAGGTAGAGATAAAGAGTTAGTCATATACAAAAATTCAGTGCAAGCCAGTATTAGAACAGAGATAGTATTAAGGTAAGCCACCACTAAGCTTAGTGCAAGCCGTTATTAAAGTAGTGAAAGCATTAAGTTTATCTACCACTAAGTTTAGTGCAAGCTGGTATTACAGTAGTGAAAGCATTAAGCTAAGCTACTGTTAAGTTTAGTGCAAGCTGGTATTGGTGTAGTGAAATCATTAAGCTAATTTACCACTAAGTTTAGTACAAGCTGCCATTAGAATAGTTTAAATATTAAGCTAAGTCATCACTAAGTTTAGTGCACATTGGTATTAGAATAGTGGAAGTATTAACACGTTGACTGCCATGTAGGTCACCGATGCCCTACGTGGCGCACTGAAGTAATTATGTCGATTTCTTTCTTCGATCTTCTTACTAAGGTGCCAGAATTTCTAGTAGATTCTGGGAAAGATGAATCTGAAGATACTGAGAATGAATCTATTTCTAAGCTACCTAAAAGACTATAACACACATTAAAACACAAAAGGCGAAGTTAGGTAATCCAGGCGCCTAGAAACAGAAATCGACACAATTATTTCAGTGCGCCGCGTAGGGCACCGGTGACCTACGTGGCAGTCAATGTGTTAAGCTAAACCACCACTGAGTTTACTGCAAAATGACTAACAAGAGCGTCAGAAAACTCACCTTTTACCCACATGTTCGGAATGCTCCCTCAAGTGAACGGCCAGACTGTATTTGTTACAGAAGAACTTCCCACAGTCGACGCAGTACGATTCCTGACTACCGTCCCCACTGTGGGCGGATAGGCGATGCATCGCGAGCGCCGAACGTTGCTTGTAAGATTTATCGCACAGATCGCATTTGATCTTCGCAACGTTTCCGTGTACCAAGCTGAAACCGTCGTCTGCGTGCTTAGTGCGAGCTTTTTAATACGCTTTCATTAGCTTCAGACGTATGTGTGTTGGTATGTATGTAACGGAATCTTTGAACATGATTTTGACCCCCTTAAAACGTCGGATTAACTCGAAATTTGGTATACTTATTAAGGACCGATTACGATTAAATATATAAAAAAAAATCAAAAAAAAAATTACAAAATTGAAATTCAACTAAGAAATGAAATATAAATAATAGTTTAAAAAAACTAACAAATTACGCTTTTATAGAAATGACCCTTCCTTCATGCGGTATCAGTAGTCAGTAGTAGTCAACAGTAGTCATAAATATTTTACGAACAGATATGAGTAGAAGATAGCATTAGTTGGATTTTCTATAAAAGCGTATTTAAGTTAGTTTTTTTTAAACTATTATTTATTTCATTATACCGTTCTACGTATTAAGGATAAATCGGGAGGCTGTCACTACCCAGATAGCTACGGAGCATTGTCACCGATTCAGGTCTTAATATGAGCGTTTATTCTGTGTCTATGGGCTTTGCTAAAGTTCGTCGAACTCCAAAATGTGTAAGCTTTACATTGCCTATTCAACACTATTATTGTTGTACACTATTATACATGACGACGCTTGCAGCTGAAAGTAAGTTTTGTACTTTTTGACGAAGCATGTTGCTGATAACTCTATTTCTGTAATCTGACGAAGCATGTTGCGGATAATAACATGTACTTTTAGGTTAGGAATATTGTGTTCTTTTTTTTTTATAATAAATTATTGTTTATGTTATGCTAATCTGTTATTACTACTCAGGATTTTGTTTAATTACAATTAAAATTGTCTACTGTCCTAGACGAGCGATAGGAAGCGATGCGACACGAAGCTACGCGCGTAGTGTCAGTCCAAATGACATTTACATACAATTTATGTTACTAATCACTTTTTTGAACTTTCATTTTTCCAATTTTATTAAAAATCTAACGTCGACAAACAAGCAATGAGATGGTCCTACGACCTGGTCAAAATAGCTGATAAGAAATGGATGGAAAAAGCAAGAGAACGAAGGAAATGGAGTGCATCGAGTACTCGAGGTGGGTGGCGCATTTACGTTGTAGATGTCTATGGGCTCCAGTAACCACTTAACACCAGGTGGGCTGTGAGCTCGCCCACCCATCTAAGCAAAAAAAAAATAAAAAAGCATATGAAGAGACCTATACTCAGCACTGGGTGGTTATAGGTTGAAGAAGAGAAGAGATTCCAATGCATCTAAATGTCCCGTAATAATTTACAGGATATTTAGATGTTGAGTTTTGGGATGAAAGCATCGTGGTTGGTTTAAACGCCTTGTCGTTAAACCACGAGGGATGGGTTGATTCGAGGACTCTGGATGAGTTGATTTTCTAACAAGGACAGTTGCTTCGCGAGAGCTTATGCCACCAGATTGAAAACGCGACCCGCTGAGAAAAACCGGCGAGAAACACAGCGGGCTGATGCCATTGGCTTGATTGTCATGCCGAAGCGACGAAGTACGGTGACACTTAAATTGTGGACAATATCGCATCGCCTCGCATCGCTTCGTCTCATCAACGAAATACGCCTGCGGCCTTACTTCATGTGATTCCAGAGTCTTCCGTATGGATACGTTTTCTTACACAATTCGCAGAATTCTTCTTTGTGTTTCGATGCGTGATACCTCAGACTGGCAAGAGAACTGAAATGATATATTGCCAGCATATAGGCGGCACGAACATATTGAAATGACAGCACCTATATTGGAGACATAAGGGACTAAGAATTCTACTTCTAAGGTCTCGGTTTTACTGAAACGCATTACTGCTTCACGGCAGAAATAGGCAGGGCGGTGGTACCTATCCGCGCGGACTCACAAGAGGTCCCCTACCACCAGTAAGAAAATTAAATTATCTGGGTATCTCTAGTATCGTCGGGGAACAAAGTGCTAGAGTTACACTCTGGTCCATCATCTACCAGCCGACATATTGTCGTATATATGACAGCAGATATGCCCGGCGATGGTCATGACACTTCAAATGCCGAGTAGCGTACAAACTTTCACATAAAAATATCGTTTTAGTGAATAATGGAATTTAGGGCAGTTTCTTTTAGGACCAAAGTTCCCACTAAAATGTAGAAGGTCACTAAAAAGACTTGCTTACATTATCGCCCAACGCTCGATCCCCACCCGACAGAATCCGGGCATAGCAGGGGGGTCGGTGCGGGGACCGGGGGATCGACACTTGGGCCAACAAAGAAAGCAGTGAATATCTTCATCTTATACCTTTAAACGAGCAATTCTTGTATATTAATATACATATAATCTGAATCTCGGAAACGGCTCCAGAAAATGTTGTTTTATTCGTGTTTTCAATAATCAACTCTTCCCGACATCTATTGGCGAATAATAATACTATTTTTCTTAACTTGCTTGAGGGCAACTAACCGCTTTAAAGACACAACAAGATGGCGTTGTAAAAAAATAAAAACGAGCAAAGCTCGGGCATCGTCTAGTTATCGTAATAGCTCACTTGGTCTCATAGCTGCAATGGACATAATCACAACTATACGTCTCGACACGTTCCGAATGCTTCGCCTGGCAGTGTATGGCTGCCGTTTTCCTGTCCACGTACCGCTTATTGCACTCTAAGCATTCGAATCTGCAATCGCGAAATGAACACCCTGTGTTTATAAGTAATGGCTGAATTTGTGACAGTCACGAGAATTGAGTTATTCTACTGCCTATTGGCGGCTCATTGGCCGTATAGAGTCTGTGAAATTCTCATTTTGTAAACTTTAAATTCGTCACTAATTCATAAATAAAAATTTCAATTTTATTCCTCCTATTAATAATCATTTCTCATAAAACAGAATATAAAGCGACGCTTTAAAGGCAAACGTGACTAAGCGACAATGCGTGAACCTTACAGTAGACTAATTTAAAGTTGAAATACCTGGAATTTTTTTTTTTTAACGAATCTAGCTGTAGTAGAATCTAGCTAGTAGCTGTAGGATTGAAATGATTTTAATACACCTGGAAATATTTTTTTTTTGCGCAACAAATATGGATATTGCCCATCATTTATGTACAAAGCAGTTATTGTCGCTTAGTCACGTTTGCCTTTCAAGCGTCGATATACATAATAATAATTGATAGTTTTAACAAGCTCGACAATGGCAACAATTGGTATGGCACAAAGTTGATTGCTATACTAAAAAAAAAAAACACCCGCAAAGGGATCTTGTTTTTCGTCGACCCACCTGCACGAAGATATGCTGCGCTACGCGACGAAAATCAAAACAACTTCGAAACGAGATGCTCTACATCTTGCATATAGTTCGTGAACACATCCTAGGTTAATAACTTCGAATTATTGGCAAGAGGATTTGTATGCCGACATATTAGCATCGTTTATTGGAGCACTGGCATCTTACCTTTTAAGCCATAGACGCTAACTTTTAAAATTGCCTACGCTATTTTTGTGTATTGGACAGCAAATGTGCAACAGATGTCCATGAACAACAGCACAGTACAAACACCTGCTGAACCGCTGCCAATCGCTTAAGAATTATCATGTTTGGGCATTGTCATTATCGTACCACCCTAATACTGTTTCGCGGCAGAAATAGAAGGGGTTTTTATACCGGAATGTGGCCCAAGGCTGTACCGCTACCAAGGTTTCCTTATCTGAAAGTCTACATGTAAAATGAATTTTTAAGAAACAAAGCTCACCTAAGGTAATGCCTCCTGGTGTGCGTCTCCAATTTGAGTTCTGTGTCGTAAGTACAGTCACAGATTTCGCACTTGTAACGATTTTTCTAAAAACAAAAACTCCTCTGTCAATACATCTTCACGGACAGTAAATTATAGAGCCCAATAGCGGTGTCTTGTGAGTCTACCCTAGGTCAGCACCAGCCTCGTTGTGAAGCAGTCGTTTGAAGGTCAGGGCAATCATTATACTATAGCTCAGGGGTTCAGAACTCATGTCTCAAGCTTTGCCGTGGCATTTCTGTTTTGATGTCTATAGGCTCTAGTAACTACATGCCTGTGAGTGCTTTTACTCTTCTAAGCAATAAACATAACATGATCAGTGTTCCTCTGACCTCACATCATCTTCCTCTACCGTCTCACCTCATTATGCCTCAAAAGCAAATGATTTCTCAAATGCAAGTCATTATCGTATGAAACCACACATTTTTCACATTTGTGCAATTTCGCTGTGTACTTGCTTTGCGTTTTTGCTAGCTCTCTCTCGGCTTCAAGTTCTGTCCGTGAGAGGTATGTTGTCTTTAGTTTGGCTCCGAAGCAGTCCTCAATACCTTCACATACTTTTATTTCTTCAGGATGATCGGCCTAGAAATTTGTCTTGTAGTTAACCTATGTTAGCAACGGGAGCTTATATAGACATCAGTACATTAATGGTCCTGGGGTCTATATTTCAATTTCTGTGTTATTCCTATGTCATAGAAGTATTTCCTGAACAAGAGTTAGGTACTTATTTTCATTAGAACAATTCATTATTTTATTACAACGACCATCCTATCTGTTTGTAAAAACAATCTGGAAACAGTGGTTTGGTTAGATTAGTAATTAACTTTTTATTCATCACTATCATTGTCATTTACCTGTAGAGGTTCATTAAGACTCTGTAGTGTTGCCATACTAATATCTGCTTTGCTAATATTGTGTGCATCTTCAAGCCTAATTTCAATTTTACTTTCATTTTCAATTCGAGCAGTGAGAGGTTCAATTTTTATTTCATTTACATCATTTAAGGTTGATATCACTTCAATTTTGCTTCTTACGAGATTCATAGTCATGTTAACATTGTTATATGGAGTCTGCAAATAGTAGTATTATCTAATTTTAGTGCAGTAAATACATTTTGTCTTGAAATAAAGATTCATAAAATAGCAACATTCAAATACTTGTCAAAATTTTTATCTATTGCTTAGTTGGATGGCTGAGCTTCACAGTCATCCTGTATTAAGTGGTTTTTTTTATTGCCCCTGTTTGCAGACGTGCATACTTCAAATTTAACTTCTACCTAACTTTATTTAATTATATTATTAACTACCATAAATCCACATACGAGTCAGTTTAGTTGATGGGACATCGCAATGTAGCAACACCGCAATCTATCTTAAGAGGTTTGTCATGCTATTTTTTTATTGCCGTATAGGCAGGCATATGGCCCACCTCATGGTGTGTGGTTACCGTCGCCCGTGGACTTCAGTAATGCCAGGGGCAGAGCCAAGCCGTTGCCTACCATTACCAGACCTTATAGACATACCAGCACCAACAAAGTCTTAAGTGAACGCAGCCAGTGCTAACCCTCTAACTGGAATGTACAAGTTCTTTAGCAGAAGAAATGAGCAAGATTATGGTATCCACCCATGCAAGGATACAAAATACCAGATTAAAAAAGATATCACATACCTTTACCATTAGCATGGAGTAGCTCTGTTCCACTTGCTCCAAAAACAGATTGATCTTTTTCATGAAACTGTGGCATTTGACACACACAAATAGATTTTGTATATTCAACTGAAAAAAAAAAACAATAGCATGGACTCTTTTGCTTTACACAACAGTAAAAAACACTATGGCATTCTCTTTGATTTTTGAGAGTTGTAGGCATAATGAAAACTATATTTACGATTTAATCTTGCATTTATTACATACTGTATTGATATTATTTTCGACGTTTTGAATATTTTCCGCCGTCACAGACGCCTAAAGTGTTTTATGTTATACCTACGACAACATTCGAAGATTACGCAAATTAAGCGAATTTAAAACTTAAAAGTAGTTTTGAAATTATGAAAAATAAAATATTTTTTTTAATCTATATCTATTGAATTTCTGTTCGTTAGTCTCGCTAAAACTCGAGAACGGCTGGACCGATTTCGCTAAATTTGGTCTTGAATTATTTGTGGAAGTCCAGAGAAGGTTTAAAAGGTAGATAAATATGAAAAAGTTCTGAATTAAATAAAAATAACAATTCTGTTTTTCCTTTGATTTGTCCCCCGTCGGACGGATTCCTTTTGTTTGTTTTAAGTTTATTTTAAACAAGAGTTTGGATCTTTTATTTATCGATTGAGGCACTACGAAGTCTGCCGAGTCAGCTAGTTAATTATAAAAGTTACATACCTTTTCTTTAAAATGATTTTCAAGGAATATCCGGTGTTTACACAATCGAAATTCAATTAATGTTTTACCGTCAGTTAAGCAACAAAAACAAACATTTGCTTTCGGCACAAGAACTTCGTCATCTGTTAAACAATAAGTTAGGTCTTTAAAATCCATCTTTACTTTTGCTTAGCTTATCATGTAATTGTATTTTGACCTATGTAGTACTTTTTTCAAACATAGAGTGTTAAATTAAAATTATATTAAGTTCTCAAATCAGTCGAGTTCATAGACCTTGTTGAGTTTGACAAACAATAATTTTAGTAGTTCTATTTTTCCAACTGGAAAGGCAAAGGTATAAGACCATACGGTCTTTTGTTTATTACTGTTTTATAAAAAAATGATTTGGAACGAAAAGAAATAAAGTTGATTAACTTGAAATATTAAATCAATTAGTATGAAATTATTTGAAACGAGATGAGATAAAATAACGCCGCAGTAAAATGGTACAATCACAGGATTCGACACCCGCTTTCTCGCCAACAAGTCCTGTCCAAGCTTCGTTAGCAAACGGTAGACTATTTGATGAGCCCCTACCATAATATGTTAAGCAAAGCAGAGGCGGTTTCGACAGCGGTATTACGAAGCGCCGACCTCTACAATATCTAATGGTGGTAGTACTACTGGTGCTAGGACGTCTTGTGAGTCCGCTCGGGTAGGTATCACCATTCTGCCTATTTCTGCCGTGAATCAGTAATGCGTTTCGGTTTGAAGGGCCGGGTAGCCGTTGCACTGTAAAAACTGATATCTCAAGGTAGATGGCGGCATTTACGTTGTAGATGTATATGGGTTCCGGTAACCACTTGACACCAAGTGGTTCGTGAGCTCGCATCACAAAAACTCTGATCTGATGCTAATAGGTTCATCAATCGATTATTATTTTTCAGTATTCAGAATTAGAACTATGAGCCGCTTAGCTTTTTTATGTAGTAGCTTTTGAAGAAAATTAGCACAAAAAATAACATACTTATTTGGATATACTACAAACTCGTTTTTTTTTAGATCTAGCCCATATAATTATTTGCGTAGATTTAAAAAAAAATCCTTTAAGACAGTTCTCCTAATAACTTTTTAAACACTCAAATGTCAATGTGAATATGGCAGCAAAAAAAAAACAAATTTCTTTTTATTTTTTTATTTTAATTTCAAACTAGCAACAAGAAAGTGCGAACGTCACGCGTTAAGATTGCCAGCTGTCAAAATATGACTAACACCACAATTTTCAAAGTTAACGCGGGAAGCCAGCGATTTAAAGTACTAAATGTTTCATCTGCTCCCAAGCCAGCATTCTCTGTCTTCTGCTGCCACTCAAGTAATAATGGCAGTTCGCAGTCACTTTATCTTGTCCTTAACAAATCTTTTATCTCTCATCGCTCAGTTCGTACCCAAGGTTTCAATCCTTACGAAGCACAAGATTATCCATTCTAGTCAAAAACTAGCTTCCTTTACGTTTTTTTAAGCCGTGCAGTAACCTTTTATGGGTGTACATCGCGCCCGAGTGGCCAAAAGTCGCGCCGCAGAGCTGGCACACGTACGGCCGTTCGCCGGTGTGCGTGCGTATATGCGAACTCAGTATTTTGTTCGTCTGTAATGACGTTGACATTTCAATATGGCCGCGAATTTGCTTTAGCACACTTTCCTCATTGAAACTATGGAGGGTGGAAGTAAGGAGCGCCATCTTGTATACGGGACAAGTTGAAAGTGTCCACCTGTGAACAGCGAGTTGGAAGCCAGAAAGCCAAAAAAGATGGAGTGACTTTCGCACGCACTTCACTGTGCCACAGACCTACATAAGTGGCTTCAAATCACAAAAAAAATGGTCACAAAGGACACATCACGATTCTCAGCAATGAGCGATCGTTTGAAGTAGGGAGTATTGTTGGAAGACTCTGTGAAATAGCGCTAGTGTAGGAAGTGGAAATGATATGAATATAGCAGTTTTAAAATATTAAATTTTTCGTGACTTGTGTAGTTCAAAAGCGTGCAGTATTTATTTATTTACTCAAAATCTCAATATTTTTTTTTAAATAAAATTTACGTGGAAAGTATTTCTTTCCTTCTTAATTTAGTATCCTACTAACTAATAGTCCACGGCGGTGTTTTTTAAATTTTCTCACTTGGTACTATGGCACCATCTTAATTGGGTCCCTTTTCAGCTGACACTTTTTAAGGCATTGAGCTGCTCGTCCTTACTTCTACCCTCCACAATTGAAACATAACAGTAAAGTGGAGAAAAGATAAATGAAGTCTTTGAATGGTCCATCTATTTATCTATCAAAACACGAACGTCCAATGCTGGACACAGGCTCCTCCCAAGCCTCGTCACAGGGACCGAACTTGAACTATAACTGGGAACCAATCCTAGCACGGTTATTCGCCCCCAACTTAAGATTACCGTGTTATAGGTACCAGAGACTGACATATTTATACTTATACAATATATATATATATATAAATGAATTGCCGTTCGTTAGTCTCGCTAAAACTCGAGAACGACTGGACCGAAGTCCAGAGAAGGTTTAAAAGGTAGATAATTATAAAAATACTCGGAATTACATAAAAATAAAAATTTTGATTTCCCTTTGATGTGTCCTCCGTCGGACGAATTCCTTTTGTTTGTTTTAAGTTTATTGTATACAAAAGTTTAGGTCTTTTATTTATATCGATTGAGGCACTACGAAGTCTGCCGGGTCAGCTAGTACAATATATAAATAAATATTCGTTCTCAAACAAAACCGCTATCGCTGTTCGAACTGAAAAAAAAACAATCGATCGAACCGTTCCGACAACTCACCATGAACCCGCGTCCGCAATGTTCGCAGATTTTATCGCGAGGCAACTTTTTTTTCTCGTGTTTAAACTCCACGTGTCTTCTGAGCGTGAACGACGTATTGAAGATCTATGAATAAAATGTGCATTATATACATTTTCGAATTGCATTGGGGGACCGGGGTGTGGAGGGTCGGGGTGGCGCCGCGAGTCTGGTTGTAGTGTTGACCGCGGGAACCCTCCTACTCTGACTGGGTTCTAACCCCAGATGGAGATCGGACGTCGGGTGAGAGCGTGCAAGGGGAGTCGTTTGGTAGGTAGGGCCCTTAAACATCCTTGGACCCGCGGTCTGTTCTGAACATCTGCAGACCGTCAAGTCTTACATACCCCGCGCGCCGCCTAGGCGCGGAAGCCTCACATGAGGATCGGCCCCCTGCCCGAAAAAAAAAGGGTTGGGACGAGAGGTTGGGTTGGGACGAGGTCACTTATTATTTAATATAATTTAAAGAGCTCATATGCTACGGTAACAATTTAACACCGGATGGACGAAATCGTTTAACAATCAAAATAACCGACTCCTATACTATTGTTTTATGATGAACATCAGGCTGCGGACGCCCTCTGCTGAATATAGGCCTCGCCTAAGTTTCCTTCATAATGATCAAGTCATGTCCCGTTACATCCAGTAGGTCGTCGGGCAACCTGGTGGAAAGTCTACCCTGCTTTTTGCGAGGCTAGAATCTTTTTGGCTAGAAAATATGTTCATCGAGCATTGTGCCCTGTTCTCTGCTATTTCAACCTTGCAACTCTTCGGGCTGTGTCGTGTACCATGATTCTCCTGCAAATCGCCTTCATTCCTAATCGAATCTCGCAGTGATACTCCAGGACACAGCCCCCTCCATTGCTCTTCGTGTGACTTTGACCCTTCCGATGCATGGACGGATGAATGATTCTTCATGCAACACTGCGGTGTTTGGGACGAGAAGATTCTGCGCGGTTTCCCGAACGCTGCACACCTAAGTTAGATTCAAGGATTTTCTCTTTCTCTCCTCATCCTCCCACCCCCACTTTCTCTCTCGAAGTCTGACGTAACCAGTACTATAGTTCAATCCAATTTTAACGAATCACTCTATTAGCTCTGGAAACGCTAGGAAGATTACTTCGAAGTCTACCTTATCACAAATCGTGCACTTGTAATCGGGTTTGAGCTTCAAATGTGCCGTTTCTATGTGTTGTCTCAGGAAGCGCTTCGTGGAGTATCTCTTTGAGCAATCATCGCAAACGTACCTGAAATAATCGTAACGATTCATCAACACGTGGAGAACGGCACGACGAACAAACAAACAAAGACAAACAGAGGTACGAAACGAATATCATCTAGACTATACATAATGAAGTGGACGGAAACTAAAATCCTACTGGTAGTGGGACCTCTTGTGAGTCCGCGCGGGTGGGTACCACCACCCTGCATATTTCTGCTGTGAAGCAGTAATGCGTTTCGGTTTGAAGGGTGGGGCAGCCGTTGTAACTAAATTTGAGACCTTAGAACTTATATCTCAAGGTGGGTGGCGCATTTACGTTGTGGATGTCTATGGGCTCAAATAACCACTTAACACCAGGTGGGCTGTGAGCTCGTCCACCCATCTAAGCAATAAAAAAATAAAAAAATTACACAAAGTTATAGAGCTATTTATCATCCAGACTATATGAGGACTACATCATTTGTTGAAGATGGTATAGTACGGAGGTCTCAAGGTGAGGTCTTTTACTGATGGTAGGACCTCTTGTGAATTTTACTGGTGATAGGACCTCTTGTGAGTCCACACGGGTAGGTATCACCGCCCTGTCTATTTCTGCCGTGAAGCAGTAATGTCTTTCGGTTTGAATAGTAAGGCTACCGTTTTAACTATACTGAGACCTATGGGCTCCAGTAACCACTTAACACAGTGTGGGCTGTGAACTCGTCCGCCCTTTTAAGCAATAAAAAAAAAGAGCCAAAGCACGTTGCGTTGCCAGGTCTCCACTAACCACTTAATACAAGGGAAAGTGTTTGTCTGTTTGTTAACAGCAAAAGTAAAATTTCACAGGTATCGCCCGTCTTTATTTTAAAAACAACACACTGTATACTGCGCAGCGATGTCGAAAATCGTATTAGTCACCCTAATATAACTTGTATTGAGAAAAAATGGTGCGCGTGCAAATTGGTGCAGGTGAAAGAAGTGAAACTTCTGCAGTGTATAGTATTGTGATTTTCTCAAATTTTCATCCTTAAAACAAATTTCTCTTGTAATAGGGAATGCTGTGTATAAGAGAAACGACCCAGCTCTCTTTGTCCTTTCTTCCACGGTCCAGTGGTTCACGACACGATCTGCCTATTCTCTCCCTCTCGCTCTTCCTAAATTATATCTTTTCTCTCTAGCCGTAACGAATCTGCCGCGATTTGAGTTTAACTCTCAACGCACCTAAAGAAGTTTTACTGCAACAATTTTATTACTATCACACATTCATTATCTAAATCAATTCAAGGCGTGCATTCCTACAAGTTCGCAACTGGTGATTTATCGTCAAGACAAACTTTTTGCCGACATGCTTCGAATGTTCGATCAGATGTTGGGCCAGCGTGGAAGCGGTGCTGAAGAATTTGCGACAAGGGCTGCAGTAATGAGACGTCTCGTTGTTCGCTTCGTGCGCCGACCTCACGTGCGCGCGCAACCCTGCCCGGTGCTTGTAGACCTTATCGCACGACTCGCACTTGAATTGCGATGCGTTTTTGTGGACGGTGCTGCGAATCAAATTGAATACATTTGCTGCTTAATTACCTAATCTATCGATATAGGCTCTAAGTCTATCTATATGTTTCCTTATATGTTAAGATTATTAATTAATTATTAAGTACAATTAATTATTAAGTAAATTAGTAAGTATTTTACTGGTCCGCGCGGGTAGGTACCACCGCCCTGCCTATTTCTGCCGTGAAGCAGTAATGCGTTTCGGTTTGAAGGGTGGGCAGCCGTTGTAACTATACTGAGATCTTAGAACTTATATCTCAAGCTGGGTGGCGCATTTACGTCGTAGATGTCTATGGGCTCCAGTAACCACTTAACACAAGGTGGGCTGTGAGCTACTTCACCCATCTAAGCAATAAAAAAAATACAATATCCCAAATAGCGAGTCGTAGTAACCTAAAGGATAGGACTGCCGTTGTGTTCTTATAAAGTTTTTAACAAATTTTTACTGCCAATTTTTCTAATAAAATACGCTCTTTATAAATATTAACGACTTTCACGAGGTAAGAATAACATCGTCTAAGATATATAAATCTAGCGCGCTATAAGCCCGCACGGGTAGGCACGTTCGCTCTGAGCAAGGGTAGGAGAGCAATATAACTGAAACTTAGAAGTACATAGGCGGCACTGAAAATTTCGGGAATTAACGAAGTGACACAACATTACTCTTTAAAAATGTATTTATTGCTTTTCGAAGTATTCTCCGCGAAATTTGACACATTTTTCCATACGATGGAACCAATCATTGAAGCGACCATTCCATTCGGAAGTTGGGGTCTCCAAAATGGCCGTTTTGTAGGCGTCCACAGCTTCGTCAGGTGATGAAAATCTCTGTCCACGCAATTTATTCTTTATTTTAGGGAAAGTATAGAAATCATTAGGGCTTAGGTCGGGGCTGTACGGCGGATGATCTAATAATTCTATGTTTTCTTGCTCTAAAAAATATTTTGTTCTGTGCGCGGTGTGAGAACTCGCATTGTCGTGATGGAGGATGATGCGGCGGTTGCAGTTATCTTTACGGAGTTCAGAAACGACCTGTGGCAAACACATGCTAGCATACTATTCTGCATTAACCGTTCTTTGTCCCTCAAGAGGAATAGTCGTAACATGGCCGGTTTTGGAGAGAAACGTGGCCACCATTTTTTTTTGCAACACTCCGTGAACGAACAATTTTTGTTGGCTTTAACTCATTTTCGAACACCTAAACTCGTGACTGGTTTTTTGTTTCGGGTTCGTACGCGTATATCCAGGATTTGTCACCTGATACAATGTTGTATACAGCATTTGAGGATCCTGCGTGGAATCTTTCGAGAGTTCTGACGCACCAAGTAACGCGAGCCGCTTTTTGCTCTTCACAGAGCGAAGCGGTATCCATCGGGAAAACAACTTTTTTACACCTAATTGTTCATGCAAGATTATTTGTATTTGACTCATGCCAATGTCTAAAGTTGCCTGAATTTCGCGGTATGTCACATGTCGATCTTCGTCAATCGGCTTACGCACAGCATCAACGTTTTCTTGGGTGACTGCAGTTTTTAGACGACCTTGACGGGGATCATCACTGAGCTTGACACGTCCACGTTGAAACTCAGCAAACCAGCGATAAATTGTGGTTTTGGATGGGGCTTCATCACCAAATGCAGAAATCATCCGGTCAACACACTGTTTTTGTGTTAAACCCTTCGATCAACAATAGTAACTAGATTTCGGGTCGGCGCAAAAATCCGTCTCGTTAAATAACAGCGCACTTGAAATGTGAGCTCTTATTTTGTTTAGTTCACTCCAGACACAGCCAATGTCAACCCGTCTCACAATGCCGCAGTGTGTATTCAAAAATTGCAAAAAATGCCCGAAAAAGCAATTTAACGGCCGGAGTATCTTACTTTCGGTAAGTACATGAAGTATACGTTATATTTTAAGCTTTAAACTAATAAATAATATTAAATTTTAAACAAAATTACCGATTTTTAACCACCGCTACAAATGTTGGCCAAGGCTCGCCAACACTTGGACAAAATTTTTGTTTAACAGAAAAGTAAATGCATGGAGTAGATTTGTGTTGTAATAATTTTTAAAAATTTGTTAGCAGTACTTCAAAATTGGTTAGTTAAAATTGGTTAATTCTGCTTTTGTGTCTGTTTGTTGGATTCTCATTGGATACTTAGCTTTCCTAGCAATCACGTGTGCAGAATGGATCTCGATTGTCGCCAGAGAAAGAAGAGATTACTTTTATAAGCCAGCTAAGAACTCCACTCATTGNCGTTCACGGCTTTGCTAATTTTAGCGGCCGCGGGAGCTCGAGACTCCGCGGCACGCTTCTTACCCTTCTGTACCAGGGTGAATCCATCCGTCGATGAGGCGGGGGCGAGGTCGACCTCCATGTCCGAGTCAGAGTCGGAGCACGAGGAGGCGGGTGCAGGCGACCTACGAGCAAGTGTAGGTGTTTTAGAGGGCGCGACGGAGGCCGCGGATGATCGCTCAGCTGAAACGATGGTCACGGCGGACGACGCAGCAGCTTTTCTCGCCAGTATAGGCGACACGGGAGCGGCAGGCACGACAGAGGCTGCGGTGCTCAATGCAGAAGCTCTGCACGCAGGTACAGGCGACGCAGGAGCAGCGAGCGCGGCGGAGTCCTCGAGAGGGCTCGCAGTGTGATTGGCCTTGAAGGCCAAAAACTCTGAGGCGAGCTGTGGGTGGCGAAGTCGGAGGAATTCCGCGAATACAGCGTCCATGATCGCTGAGTACCCAGGTGGGGCGGCCCCGGGTCTTGAAAACACTCGCCTTGCGGCGAGGCCCCAACTTCTCGGACCTGAGCGGTTCTATTGAACACAGGTGGCAATGCGGCGCGATTACTACAGGACAAAGAAAAAGCTCAACAAAACAGAAATTACAAAAAGAAACAAAACAAATAAATACTTGCAGGAAAACACTTTGTCGGCAAATGTTCCACGAACACAAAAATAACTAAACAAAACAAATAAAAGCTTCCAGGAAACACACTTGGTCGGCAGATGTATCACGAACACAGGCCGCGCGAACAATGGCCGGGCTAACAAAAGCCGGGCGAACAAAGACCGGGCGATCGAGTGGACAATGAGCACGTCCGCACGTGACGGATGCCTCTATCGGAATCGACTCCTACCTGTGTTGATAGGCTTGAGAGGTTATTTCAGCTTCATCCTAACGTGTGTAGGTGAGCTCACGGGGCTCAAGCCGGTGTGTTGCTAACACTGACCCTAGCAAGAGCAGTGCTTCGCAGAATCTACCACCGGATCGGAAACGCGACCCACTGAGAAGATCCGACGAGAAACTCAGTGGGCTATGTCTGTGGGTTAATTCGCTCATCGAACCCTTCGTCGCAAGCGACGGGTTCGACGAGGACGGTGACCGGTGCTTGTGGTACAACTGGGAAAAAATCACGCAACGTCATCCAATTTAGAATTCTCTGTGTTATGGGTACCAGGTATTCAATACGTACTTAAATACGTTTAATTATACACATATGTAGATAATGAACATCCTTTGTCTGGGTGTTTACTATCATAACAAACAAACCTGGTGGTAGGACCTCGTGTGAGTCCACGCGGGTAGGTACCACCACCCTGCCTATTTCTGCCGTGAAGCTGTAATGCGTTTCGGTTTGAAGGGTGGGGCAGCTGTTGTAACTATAAGACCTTAGAACTTATATCTCAAGGTGGGTGGCGCATTTACTATATCGCACGAATGCTAATCCGATGTGGGAATAGAACCCACGACCCTAGGCCCAACAATCAGGACTAACTAAGGCACCACTGACTCGGTCTAATCATTTACTGGTTCAGTTTTATATTTTGTTTTGACTTTAGTTTTGTTAGAACTTGAACTCCGCGTAACGAAATAGAGGACATATTCATCGGCATCTAGCAATAAAGTATTTTCTTCTTTACTGCTCGTTCGCCTGTAAGCTAATTTATTTTTCCCGGAGCATGTTCTCATAACTAGTATCGGATGTTCACTGAAGGGCTTTTACCGGTTCCTGAGTTTGGCAGGGCTCCCGCTAAGCTCGTGAGGGTAAATGAATCCTCGATCCTATTTCTGAAGTAAATCTATATTATTTTAGACATCAGGGATTTCCGTATTAAATTTTGACAAGGACGAGAATTCTCTAGGCTATTATTGACTGAAACTGACTTGTGTTTTTATTATTGGTTACATGGGTGGACGAGCTCACGGACCACCTGGTGTTAAGTGGTTACTGGAGCCCATAGACATCTACGACGTAAATCCGCCACCCACCTTGAGATATAAGTTCTAAGGTCTCAGTATAGTTACAACGGCTGCCCTACCCTTCAAACCGAAACGCATTACTGCTTCACGGCAAAAATAGGCGGGGCGGTGGTACCTACCCGTGTGGACTCACAAGAGGTCCTACCACCAGTAATTACGCAAATTATAATTTTGCGGGTTTTTAATTTTTTAATTAAAAAAAAAAAAAGAATTGTATGTACCTAAATATCAATTAAGGTTGTTAATAAAGGCTTCCTTTATCTTTATCTTTCATGGATAATATTAACGGGTTAATTTAATGATTTATTGATTCACAAATTCGATTATTTTAATCAGGTGGGATTTGAGCTCGTCCACCCATCCGTGAAGTAATAACATCTATACTAATATTATAAAACTGAAGAGTTTTTTTGTTTGTTTGAATTCGATAATCTCAGGGAGTAGTTTTGGCGGTACAGAAAGTTTGATGGCCCTTTTATCAGGAAAGGGAAAGGAATATTCCTTTAAGGAGCTTCTTTTGCGTGGGTTCTCTGAACAGTCACTGCTACGCAACACTCAAGTATGGAGGAATTATTCCACTTAAATCATCTAAAAAAGGCTGCGTTACCATAATATGTTTATCTTTTTACGTTGGCTAACCTTTTTAATGGTGACCTAATTTGTTCTATTATAATGGATTACTTGCGAAGGGAGTTTTATGAACACGATATTAATACCTATCCAAATAAAT